GCTTCTGTTCCTTTTGCCCCTTGTCCTTTACGACCTCTTGTTCCGATCCTGCGGGCCTTGGGAGGAGGTTAGCTCCTGCTCCTCTGATAGCCCTATTCTCCAGTCCAAACTGACTCTTGAATAACAAGTGTGGGTTCTGGGCCTCATCCTTTCCTTACCCCAGGGCACAGGGCCAAGGTGCTGACACCTTTTACCAAGCTGACTCTGGACTCCAGAGATGTTTTTATTCACTTTTTCTCCCACCCTTGCCTTTAAATAGCCTGCTCCCTGCCCCTCTGATCCCGCTCTGGGAGTCTGAAATCATACCTATGTTGCTGGGATTCCTATATTTTTAGAGACAAGTTATCCTAGAATGTTCTCCTTTTTCCCTGAGGAGAAAACAAACAAACAAAAAAAGCAATATCTTAAGGCTACCATGGGAGGTTGAAGTTAAACTTACAGCCCAGATTATCTAGGACATCTCCACTGCTTGGCACAGGGGTGTGGCGTACAGGAGGGAATAACAGGAGCTGCAGTCCACATTTCTGATTCTGGAGCTCTGGCTATTGTAGGTCTTGCCTAAAAACCCCAGTGGCAGAAATGTCACTATCCCAGCACTCATAACCCATTTTTGGCATTTCAGTTGGGAAATAGAAGGGTACTTCAAAAAGAAAAAAAATTAAAAGGTACATTTATTCTGGTGTAAAATTTTTGAAATCCATGCATAATTTTTCAGAACATGCATTTTCCATGAATTTATTGAAGATTTCTCATATAGCTAAGAGCCCAAAGTCCATGGCAGGGTCTAAGAGGCTGGGAAACCAATGAATGCCTAAGAATGATACTCAGAATGAGGTCAGACTCTGGCCCTGCGACAGAAGCCATTATTGGTTTGGTGAGAAGATGAGAAGTCTGTTATGATCCTTGCCCAAATTTAGTAGCAGTGACAGAGGTCAACAAATTGCTTTGGTAATAGGTAGTTGATATTCTCTAAGCACATTCTTATTTTAAGGATATGCCAGGAGATAGGATAAATCAAATGGGACTGAATGTGAATTCCAGCATGTAAGGTCTTGTACTGGGTAGTTGATGAGGACCAAGAGTTGAATATTAGGATTAGTGAGGATTGATGTATTATTTAATTTATTAATTCATTCATTAAATATTTATAGAGCACTACTTGGTGCCAGGCACTCAGAGAAAGAGGTTAATAGAACATGGATGAGAAAAGCAAACATTTACTTTAGAATATGACAAGTGTCATGGAGGGGTCAGTAAAGACCACTCTGGGATCCTTGGAAGAGAAGGGAGCATAAGAGTGGACTTCCTGAAGGAGGTGATGCCAGGACTGGTCTTAAAAGTTGTTTTTCAGTCAATCAAGTATACAAGTGCAGGGAAGGGCAACCCAGACAGAAGGAAGTATGTGCAGTGGCACAGAGGCAAGGTTCAGTGCAATGAGTTTCTGGGAATGTAAGTGATTTACTTCACACGCTGTTTGTAGGGGAGCAATGTGAGGCTGAAGTGTAAAATCAGAAGTGCCTTGCATGGTATGTTCATGCATTTTTCCCTCAAAGGAGTGGGAAGTTGCAGAACAGGTTTAAGTAGTAGAGAGATGTGACTGGTTCTGAGTTTTAAAGAAACCTTCCTGATAGTAATAGGAGGAAAGCTTGGCAATAGATGGAGCAGGGACCCCAGACCCTCCCACCTATCTTTATTATACCTTTATCGCTATAAAATCTATCATTAATTCTTCCCTTCCTTATCCAACCTGATTTCTTTCCACTTTACAAGTTCAGGTTGGCTCAACTAATCCAGACATGCCATGCTCATTCTCTTCTCTGTATCTTGTTCCTTCAATCCACATGTAGAGAGCCTGTGGTGCCCCAGCCACAATTTCTACCAAGAAAGAACCAAAAAGATGAATGAGACATAGAACCTACCTTAAAGGAGCTCCTAGACCAATAGGGAGAACCCATGGACACACATGGTTACTGTGAGGTTGTGGTAGTGGCTGTAGTCTGATCTCGACACTGAGTACTCTGAGCGCAAAAAAAATGAGAGTCCTGTACTCCTACTGTTTTGCTAAACCCTACCCATCCTCAGGCCTATATCCTGGAAAATGAAAGGCAGTGTAATGGCTTGGAGCTTGAGTTCTGAAGTTGGACAATAAAGCTTTAATGCTGGTTCTACCATTTATCCAACACAGGGTCTTGACCAGAAATTCTTTGTCCCTCTATTTCTTCATCTATAAAATGGGTTAAATGTCTGCATCTACTTCATAGGGTTATTGTGAGGAAAAAAGTGATAATAGACATAAAAGCCTTTAGAAGAGTCCTTGGTATATGAAACTTCAGTAATTTTTGGCCATTATTATATCCAGTTCTATTCATTTTCTTCTGAGCAGCTATATCATGTCAAGAAACTTTAACCTTTCATCATCTATTATTGTGTTGCATACCCATTTCATGTGTCATTATGTTAACTCCCTCAAGGATGACTGTTCCCTTTGGGACAGAATCTGTTTTATACGTGGTGAGTCTACATTAGGGGGAACATTCATCCCAACTTTCCCAGAACTGGAAGGGTTTATGGGATACAGGACTTGCTGTGCTAACCCAGGAAAATCTAGAATGGGACAAATTGGGCACCTTAGATGTAGTAGGCGTTTCAGTTTTGCTTTGAATTTATCTCTTATTGGACTCAAACCTAACTTGAAGCAAGCCCACATTTACTTTAGCACAAATTGTCTAGAAAATAAGAAGACAACCAGTGATTTTCTTTGAGGATTCCTGAGATTCCTTAGAGTATAAAGTGGAAGATTTGAGGGATTCCTAATGAGTTTTCTCCCATCAGCTATGGGTATGTTTACTAGAAATTACAAACAATCCCTAACCTGGCCCTCAACCCTTCAAGCCCATCTTGCCAGCACTGGGACAGTGTTTGCCTTGGACAGCTGCATTTCAGGCAGCATTCCTTAGGGATCTCCTGTGGCATCTCTCAGGATTCCTCAAGGCCCTGGACAAGTGTTTGCTGACCACCTGCCCATGATCTCCAGGTCTGTGCTAGTACCATCAAGAGGCTGTGTGAGCAGAAAGGCTCAACCCCAGGGTTTTCCTTCCCCAGGTCTGCTGTAACGAAGTACTGTAGACTGGGTGGCTTCAACAACAGATGTATTGTCTCACTGTTCTGAAGGCTGGTTAGTGCAGGATCAAGGCTTCATCAGGGTTGCTTCTGTCAGAGGGATATGAAAGAGAAGTCTGCTCCATGCCTTTTCTTAACTTCTGGCAGTTTGTTGGCCATGTTTGGCCTCCTTTAGCTTGTAGATACATCTCTCAATCACTGTCTTCACCTTCACATGTTGTTGTTCTGTGTGTGGCTGTCTCTTCACATGGTATTCTTTATATAAGGACATTGGATTTGAGGTCTGCCTTTTTCCAATTTAACTTAATAATGTAATTATGTCTGCGGTGACCCTATATACAAAAAGCTCATATTCTGAGATATTGGGGATTAGTACTTTAAAATGTGAATGTGGGGGGTGGAAACAATTTAGCCTCTAAAACCCGTCTTCAGGTAAATCCCCAAAACTACGTGGAGATATCTCCATGGACGAAACAAAGCACTGTGCAGCCACTGGCCACAAATCCATTTTATTTCTCCACTCACTTTGTATTTGATACTGACTTCTTCTGCTTCTGGGGTCCTAGCCTCAACACCAAGCACTTGTTCACCACTGTGTAGGGTGCTCTGCTGACTTTAGGGATATCAAGACATATATGAACACTAGCATCACCAGCTCTAAGATAGGATATGTCAGGAGATATTTTTTTAAAGAGAAGCCTGCTGGGACTGGCACTGTGGCGCAGGGGGTTAATCCTCCACCTGTGGCATCAGCATCCCATATGGATACCATTTCTAGTCCTGGCTGCTCCTCTTCCAATCCAGCTCTCTGCTATGGCCTGGGAAAGCAGTAGAAGATGGCCCAAGTCCTTGGGCCCCTGCACCCACATGGGAGACCCCAAAGAAACTCCTGGCTCCTGGCTTTGGATCAGCACAGCTCCAGCCATTGTGGCCTTTGGAGAGTGAACCAGCAGATGGAAGACCTTTCTCTCTGTCTCCCCTTCTCACTGTCTGTAACTCTCCTCTCAAATACATAAATAAATATTTTTTAAAAATTAAAAAAAGAGAAGCCTGCTAAGGAAAAATTATAACCATGACATATAATGTAATAACTATTATAATGATAGTGAGTCCCATCCTGATGCATAGTAATTGCAAGTTAGTTTCCTTTTAAAATGTTCTAGAGAATACCACAGTGTGTATAGCAGAGGTTGGAGACTGTGTGTGTGTATGTGTGTGTGCATGTTCATGTGTGTGGGCACCAGACTCCTCCCCAATCTCCCTGAAGGCATTTAGCCCTCACTGGTCTCTGGGGGAATAGCATGCGTCACCTCCCTCTGGCTGTGGCCACTTCCTGTGTCAGCTCCATGGAGTGGCTGACCCCTTCCCCCTCCAGAGATAGCTCTGCTCCAAAAGATAAACACCAGCGGTGATGGGACTTGGGAAAAGCAAAGTCTCTCAGTTAGTCTCCCCGGTGTGCTCACACAGAAGCCAGCCCTCCGTGTGGATGTGCTGTTTCCCACTCCGGCAGTTGCAGCCTGAGATGTGAGGGCAATGATGGTTCCTCTTCAGGGTTGGGGACAGGCAGCAGACGGGGCATGGAGCTTCTCGCAGACCTGCCTGCTTCTTCCCAGGCACATTGCGCCTCTGAGAAGTCCCTGGAGGAGCCAAGGCAACTGGCTAGTGCCCGCTTGTGCCGAGCAGCCGGGCAGGCTGCGAGCTTGCTGCGAGGCATTGTGCCAGCCCTGCGTGCAGTGCCTCGGTGCCAGACCAGGGAACTGTCGGCTTCGCGCCCACGCCCCTCTGCGCCAACCCGGGGGAGCCCCAGGGTGGGCTGCGGGAAGGCGCGAAGCTCGTTTCCTGACTGCAAGTTGACGTTGCCTCACTGTTGTTGCTGGCAGAATACCTACACCAACGCGGACAAGCTCCTAGAAGCAGCAGAGCAGCTGGCTCAGACGGGGGAATGTGACCCGGAGGAGATCTACAAGGCAGCTCGACACCTGGAGGTGCGCATCCAAGACTTTGTACGCCGGGTGGAGCAGCGCAAGGTTCTCCTGGACATGTCCGTCTCCTTCCACACGCACACCAAGGAGGTAAGGGCTGGGGAGAGGGCGTTGGGCCCTGGCAGAGGTCAGGTTAACCTTTTGGTATAATGGTCCCCATGCCTGACCCCATCCTGGGACTGGATGTCACTCACCTCCTGAAGCTGTGATCCTAACAGTCAGCTCCCCAAAACTGCATGATCTCTATCAGAATCCCTAGTGGGGACAGGGGCCATGAGAGCAGGTGGTGGTGGTATGGGGGAGGTTGGGGGGTCTGGAAGAGCATTTTGTCTGCAGCTGGAGAAATCTTGGAGCCCCTGTCTTAGAAATAGTCAATGCAAGAGGAAATAGAAAAACACTGACTCTTTCCACCCCGCACCTAGTTTCTCCCAATTTCAGTGCCCTAGAACTTTAATCAGCTATCTTTGCTACCAGCAAGGGGCACACAGAGTTTACAAATGTGTTCTATGTTTTGTTTTTTCAGTGGGGGATTCTGCTGTCTTAATGGTGGTCTACAGCAGAGTGATGTTACAGATAGTCTTCACCTTGCCTGGTTCGGGGGTAGGGACAGGGAAGGAAGAGGTTGGAGGTTTCTCCCTACCCCATGAGGGCGCAGGTCAGCTGGATTTCAATCCCTGTCTGAATTGTTCTCCAAGTGGCAACAGCAAGGAGGATGGGTGATACTGCATGTCCAGCAGGGCAAAGGGCTATGGAGAGGTGGAGGATGCAGACCCGTGGTTGCTTTCCAACTCTGATGAACATAGGCACTGAAATGGAGTGTGTGGCCAGTGAGGGGCCCATTTAACAGCCTCTGTAATAACGCCCTTGGCAGAGGAACTCATTAGGTGTGTGCATGCTTCTGTTCCCCCTAGAATTCATTTTAATAGAGTATTAATTAAAGTGTGATTGCTGCTCAGGAAAAAAAATAACCCTACTTAATTAAGTTGATTTTTGATATTGGGAATGCATTAAGAAGCCTGGTTATTACCACTTCACAGGCTTTTCTGACACTTTGTGGGAATGAATGTGAATCATCACAGTGCCTATCAGAGAAAAGATAATGTTCCCTAAGCTGAGATTCCCCAGGCAGATGAAGCGCTGGCGAGCTCCCTGAGGCTGGCTCAGGTTCCTCTTCCCGGGACCCACAGCATTCTCTGAGGAGTGTCTGTAGAGCAAGGGGCTTAGCAGTAATCCAGGGTTTCCTGCTTGCTTGCCTGCTTGCTTGTGGCTCACTGGATTCTTAATGATGGTCTCAGAAACCAAAGGCATATCTCTTCCCTTTTAATTACGAGCCTGTGGATGACGGAGCAGAGCACCAAAGAACAGGAGTCACACTCCTCTTGAGGGCTGGGGCGGGGTGGGATGGGGTGCTGACTGCCTGAGGTGGTGGTGGGCAAGGTCAGTTCTCATGGAATTACCCCTCCCACAACATCCAGGAACCCTTTCTACCTACATCTCCTACCTCCTGTACCTGGGAATCTAGTCTGGATACTGCTAAGAGCCAAATGATCCTGTGCAAATCACTTCATCCCTGTGGCTGTCGGTTCTTGCATCTGTAAGATTATGCAGTTTGACTTGGCAGTTCTAAGGCCCTTAATGATTCTAACGTGAATTCAAGATTCTTCTCTTTTCCTTCTCTTCTTCTTTATTTGATGTTGATAATGATTAATAATAATGAAAATTAAGCCTAAAGTGGTATAGATTATCAACCTAGAATAACATATGGCTTCTTGTAGCCACTCAGCACATGTTAAGTATATTTTCTTTATCAAGTACCTACTACTTGCCAGGCTCTTACATGTGTTATCTCATGTAATCTGCATGATAATCTTATGATATGGATTTCATTAAGCATGTATTCCATTGAGGAAACTTCAGAAAATAACTTGTCTAAGATTATAGATTTATAGGTACAGGTAAGATTTTACCTGTCTTCCTAAATACTACATGTATACTCTTTCTTAATTTTTAAAATTTTTTTTTATTTGAAAGGCAGAGAGAAATGGAGAGAGAGAGAGATTCAGAAACTCCTACCCACTGGATCACATCCCCAAATGCCCACAACAGCACAACCATCGGGGCTGAGCCAGACCAAAACCAGGAGTTGGAATTTGAATCCAGGTCTCATGTGGATAGCACGTACTCAGCTACTTGATTCATCACTGCTGCCTCCCAGGGTGCATGTTTAGCAGGAAGGTAGAATTGGGAGCGGAGCCAGGACTTGAACCCAGGTTCTCTGATATGGGTGGCTGGTACCCCAAGCAGCAGCCTAGCCACTATAGCAAATACTTTCTCCTACACTCATACTCTTAACTGCTACCCATATTCTGTCCTTTTTTTGTGTTTTTCCTCTTCTCTCTTGTTCTTCTTCCTCCTTCTCTTGCCTTTTTACATTTTTAAGCCCTAAAGCAGGGCTTGATGGAGAGTTGGCTTTTAGCTGAGAAACACAAAGTGTTTCCAGGGTTACTTGACTATAAGAAGCTGTGGTCTCTCCTAAGAAAAATAAAACAGAAAAAAGCAGTGGAGAAGAAAGAGAGGAAAGCCCATTCAGCCACATCATCCACCATATTCCGTGACTCCAACTTGCAGACAAAGTAAATAAAGGGGATGGGGTGGGGGAACTGGATGCTGGTGGGAGCTTTCCTCTAATTCCTGCATAGCGAGAAGAAATGGATTATTAGGGGGGCAGAAGTGAGCAATCCTTGAAGGCTCTAATGAAAGAACTCCTGTGGCTTGATTTTCTCCATATTCTGTTTAATACCTCTCAAGACTTGCCACCTCACAAACCTGGCTAAGTGTGACTCCTATGTGATCCTGAGTCCATTAAGTCTTGACTCTGTAGGCAAACTTCTGGCTTTTTATTTAAGGAGGATTAGTAGTCAAGTCTACTAGTCTATAAATCTGTTAGGGAATTCTTTGAATTGCAGTGGTTGCTTTTTCCTCTTCACAGTGAATTGAGTGAATAGCAGGAAAATCTCAGCTTTGCTTAAATGACCTTGGCTGTTGCTGATAAAGCTGTTTGACATCCTTCTTGCCTAAGTATTGCTAGCTTCCTCCTCCTCCTTTCCTCCTTTTCTTGCTTCCTTTCTACTATAATTTGATGAGTTTTTGCCTTAGTGCCACTGCATAATAGCATGTCATCATAGGACAGAATTTTCAGGGAATGAAAGCTGCCATTATAGGAGATTTCTGAGTAGGAACTGAATATCCATCTTCATAAATGATTTAACCTAGACTTCCAATGACTCCCTAGGCTGAAGTTCATAATTTTAATTTTGCCCACTTCCCACATCAAAAGGTTTACTCTAATTAGGATCAGAGAGGAAACAGAAGAACATATGAAAAAGATAACCTCGAGGCTCATTTCTTCTGCAGACTGAAGAGTCTGTTTAATCCTATTGGTCCTGCTTTGTGAATTCTTCATAACGATGGGAGTCTGGAGGGTTAAAACAGTCTAGCGATTTCATTACATTGCTATTCACAATATTGAATGATTAGAGACCCTCTTAAATGATCTACATTGGATGATTCATGAAATAGACAATAGGACTTCTATATGGTGAAATATTACACATTTGAAATCAATTTGCCAAAGATCATGAATGACATGAAGAAGGTCATGTGTGGTAGTATGTACATAAAGACTGTATGCCCTGCATTACTGCAATTTTGATCATATATTAGCATAAAAAATAGAAGTAAATATACTAAAAAGTTAAGATTGTCATGCATGTTTTTGCATATTTTTCTGTTGTACAAGTTTCCTTAAAGCATTTCCAATTTATAATCAGAAATAATACTAACAAATATCATTTTTCATAAATAACATTTGACATCCCTATCTAGAGAGAAGAGCTACTAAATAAAGAGAGGTGACAAACATGTGCCTGTGGCTGTCTTATGCATCCAGAGCCTCAGCTACTGGTACAAATTGTGGTCAACTTTGAAATGTCCTCTTTTTGCTTGAGGCCAAAAGGGCACCCACTCTGTTTGCTGGCCTGCAGGACTAGAAAAAGTGTCAGGAGATGCACTGACCTAAGTCTTCATTCTCTTTGTCCAGGGACAAGGCCTTTGTAGCAGGTGTCATCTGCTATGCAGAGATTGCCCAGACGGAATTTTATTTCCTTGCTGTGTTTCCATGGAAATGCTGCATTCACTGCACTTTCAAAATATCCATTTTTAGGTATTCTTGTAGTAAGAATATAAGAGTCATATTAGCTAAGGAACATGGCCAAAGTAACCAACCTCAGCTCTTTATTAGGTAGCTTAATTAAATGCCCATTTCTATTTGTTTCTCACCTTGAAGAATCATTCTGTCATACCATTTCCTGCTCAAATAGGTGCACATATACTCACACCCCATGAAACACATCTCTATATGTGCTCCTCTACCCCACCCACCCCAGAGCCAAAGCTAAATTGGTCTTCAAAAAGGATGACACTCTCCAGAACAAAACAGTTCCATTTTCTATTTTGATCTCCAAATTCTCATGGTAGTTATTTAAGAAATGAAAGCTGGTGGTCAGTGCTGAAGAAATTTGATCTCTTCCAAATGAGGGAAGGAGAAATTCACTCTGTGAAAACGGTGCTCCATGCAACATCTCTAGGGGATCAATCAATGGTACTAGCACAGTGGCTGCCAGAGTTTTGCAAACAGAATAGCCAATCAGCAGGAGAAAACGGTGAGGTAAAATGACCTCTTTCTTTAACCACTTATCCACAAGCTGCATTATATCTGCAGAGTTATATTCTCCCTTCTTTTTCCCCTCCCTGCCTGCATTTCCTGCTGCCTTTTTTCCAGGTTGCTCTACTATGCAAACAGTAGAGGGTTTGTGGGCTGGCCTTTCCTGGTTTTACTCTTGGGGCTAATCTTATGTAGGTCATCTAAAGGCTTCCATAGGGGCCAGCGGTGTGGCAAAGCAGGTAAAGCTGCCGCCTGCAATGCTGGCGGCCCAAGTCCTTGGGCCCCTGCACCCAAATGGGAGACCTGGAAGAAGCTCCTGGCTCCTGGCTTCGTATCAGCGCAGCTCTGGCCATTGCGTCCAGTTGGGGAGTGAGCCATCAGATGGAAGACCTCTCCTCTCTCTCTCTGTGCCTCTCCTTCTCTGTGTAACTCTGACTTTCCAATAAATAAATAAATAAATATTTTTTTAAGGAAAAAACTTCTATAATTCCTAAGGTTTTGAGAATTCACAATTTGGGCCCATTGTTTGGATGTAGATCTTTCAGGCCACAGCCAAATATGTTCTCTGAGAGAAAGAATGCACAAAACAGGACTAAGCCGGCGCCGTGATCACTAGGCTAATCCTCCGCCTTGCGGCACCGGCACACCAGGTTCTAGTCCCGGTCGGGGCACCGGATTCTGTCCCGGTTGCCCCTCTTCCAGGCCAGCTTTCTGCTGTGGCCAGGGAGTGCAGTGGAGGATGGCCCAAGTGCTTGGGCCCTGCACCCCATGGGAGACCAGGATAAGCACCTGGCTCCTGCCATCGGATCAGCATGGTGCGCCAGTCGCAGCAGGTTGGCCGCAGCGGCCATTGGAGGGTGAACCAACAGCAAAAGGAAGACCTTTCTCTCTGTCTCTCTCACTGTCCACTCTGTCCAAAAAAAAAAAAAATGGACTAAATAATCACCATGCCATAGAGAACAGGACCCTAAAAGTATGTATCACATTATAGGTGCATCCTCTCTGGCTTGAGAGGAGAGGGCCTGGAAATGAATGAACCATGAGATTCTTTCTGGGGTAGCAACAGATTGATGGAGAAGGCACAGTGCTAACAGTTGCACTCTAGACAAGCAGAGGAAAAAGAAGACTCCTCAAAGGGAAAGAAACCAAAATGGAGAGCAGTAAGAAGGAAACATAACTTGTGGCTGCTGCAAAGCTCACTCACTCTCTCTTTTGTATTACCTAATTAGTTCTGGCAATCGTTGGCTTGTGGCAGTTTGAAGTGAGAGACCATAATTACAGGGTCTCAGTGGCTGCCAGGTCATGCATAATTTACTAATAGAAGCACCTCTCCAATTTGGACTCTTTTCAAATTCATCTAGGCATGTTCTTCAGGACTCAATCAGATGGACACATAGAGGACCACCTGTGGGACATTCAGATAGTAGGAAAATTACAGCCCAAGAAGTGGAATTTTGACCCTTAGCAATACCCATATCTATTTCTGTCTACTTTATGGTACAAATTTATGCAATTTAAGTTTGCCTCCACCACTTCCATGAAGTGGTAACTGAGTGTGTGTGTAATTTCATGGAATTTCAACCAGCTCTCTACTCAAGCTTTCTAGGTCTTAAATAGGATCTTGACTTGCTATTACAGCTGGCCTCGAACTGTTGTGAAACTCTGTGGATTTTGGTGTCAAAGTCACACTTGCAATTTTTCAGCATAGAGAAGCGTTTCCATTATTATCCTTTTCTTTACATCAGCTTCCAAAGAAAAACCATGGCATTTTAGTACCAGGAAGATCTCAGAGACAAGCTAGAGAAACCACACACATGCACACACATGCACGCATGCACACGCACACAGAGGTATGCACACACATTCATCTTAAATGTGCAGCAGTTGCAATAAGGTAATTTTTCCAAAGCCATAGAGCTAGCCAGACAAGGGAAGGATTGAGATTTATCACCAATAAGTTTCAATTCCACTGAAAATCTCCTACCCTTCTTGGTGGTGTCACCATCCCTTTGTCTCCAGTGCTATAATCCTATCTCAAAGTCTTCTTTTCAATCACCAGCCAGTTTTATTTGACTTCTTGAAGGTAAAGTGACTTTCTTCCTTTCCTAATCAGGCTGTAACAACTAGACCAAAGCAGCATCTCGTGTGTATTTGTGCATCTCTTAGCTGATTTTCCCTAGCTGTAGGTTCTGATTCTACCTTAGTAAGAATTTCTTTGTAATAAAGTAGGCTATGTGAACTGAAATCTGTGAAACCATGTTTCAATTTATTAATCAAAGAACATCTTGGAGGAGGGCATACTGACTTCAGAGGTGAGTGTGTATCTTCAGATGCCCGTGGTCTTTCTTAACAAAGTTCATTTTTCTTGGCAGTTCTGTCTGTGACTGTCCCTACCATTTAGCCACCTGACCACCTCAGAAAGGAGAGATGTTGGAGCTGGTGCTGTGACATAGCAGGTAAAGCCATTACCTGCAGTGCTGGCATCCTATATGGGTCCCGGCTGCTCCTCTTCCAATCCAGCTCTCTGCTATGGGCTGGGAAAGCAGTAGAAGATGGCCTAAATCCTTGGACCCCCACACCCATGTGAGAGACCTGGAAGAATCTCCTGGCTCCTGACTTCTGATTGGCCCAGCTCTGGCCCTTGTGGCCATTTAGGGAGTAAACCAATGGATGGAAGATCCTCTTTGTCTCTCTTTCTCTCTCTTTTTCTCTCTGCCTCTCTAACTGTGCCTTCCAAATAAATAAATGAATCTTTAAAAAAAAAAAAAAAAGAAAGAAAGAAAAAGAGAGATGCTGCCTTTCTTCCCTATACCTACACCAGAGATGTTCGTGTTTTGATTAAGAGAAAGAGGAAAGACACCCTCCAACCTATGAAGGCATTAAAGCAGCATAAGGGTTGTACTGAAAACAAAAATATTTTACATAAAGTGAAATCTTTAAAATACCTGTAAGCCCCTTTTCTGTCTCTGTTATTCCCATAACATATGAGTGTCAGCCACACTCTGTCTCCAGTCTCAGTGCCTCCCAATACCTATCCTCAATTAAGTCTTCGAGTTTAATTTTCTTCTCTTAAGTTAAAACTTTCATATCTCTCTCTCTTTCTTTCTTATTTTAGAAATATCTATACTTTCCAGTCTCTAGGCTGTCCTCAAATATCTACAACAAAGTTGCAAAAACAGAAAAGAAATTATCAACCCAGTGTCTTGAAGGACCAAATGCAAATTTTATATATACACATATACTTATTTGTATATGCACGCATATATATTAACTTATTTATAATCTTTTCAACAACTATGTGGGAGTGCTATTATTATGCCCATGTTACTGATAAGGAAAGTGAGATCCAGGAAGAATAGATAATTTATCCAGAGTTATACAAGTATATCTAATAAGTGGTTGAATTAGGGTTTAAAGCTCTAAACCAATAGGCTATATTGCCTCCTCTCTACGCTATAATTTTCCAAAAAAATCCATCATCTTTTACTCAAAGACTATCACACTGGGAAAATGATTTTTCTTTGTAGGCAAAATTACTGCCAGGAAGTATGAAATGATACTGAGCTACCCTGTACTTCCTAGCTTCATATTGATTTGAAATAAATACATTCATACCTTTAGGAACATATATCCCAATTTATATGGTCTGCATAATTTGTTGAGGTTTTTAACAAAATGCTTATTTGGAAATGAGATAAAGGGAACTAATTACAAGTAGATTTGCAAGCTAAGTGACAAAAACACTGAATGATAATAATTTGTATTTCCAGTGGTAATCAGCAAAATGCTATAGACTTATTAATAATGCTTTAAGTTTATTTAAAGCATGAGTGATGAGTCATTTAAGTTTTCTAGTGTTTGACTTGAGGAAGGCAAATCCCATTGTTCTTATTCTGTATATCAGAAAACTGAGGTTCGAGAGGTTTCTCACCTGTACAAGAAAGATGCTCTTTATACTTTCTTACCACCTACCTACAGGGCCTATTCATCTTCTTGATAATGCCCTTCTGCCATGTCTAGGGCCTCTGTTGTCTAAAGAACAAAGAATAACTTGTTCAAAATCTTGAAGACGATCTCTTTGCTCTTTCTTTTGTTTATCCCTTACTGTGAAGGCCATTTTATGAATTTATCATACTAAGAACCAACTAGATGAAATAATGTTATTGAGGTAAATAAGTATCTGTGTTTTTATTGTGGAAGACATAAAGATATTAGAATCAGCAGGAAACTATTGTATTTTGTACTTTTTCCAGCATAAAATATAGTGATGATTTGCCCTAAGGTGCTGAAAATTATAGGAGGAACAGGAGCCCACGCCCACAGCTCTGACTCTGCCAATGTCCTGTCTCTATTGTCTTTCTCCTGAAAGAGCCTTGAGCTTATCCTTCCTTCCCTCTAGGTGAAAATTCCTGGCTTCAGAGAAAATACCACACTCATCTTTCTTTCCATCATTTATGAAAATCCTAAATAAAAATAGTCAAAAGTGGAGCCCTTCTGCAGGCCACTGGAGATATATTTTAAATATGAGGAACAGCTATAATAGTTTTCAGTAATTCAGTTCATCATTTCCAGTGCTCATTCTATTAAGAACATTGTATTTCACTCTTTTAAAGTGGTCTTACCAGAAATATCATCCTTGTTGCACTTCATCATCTCGAATATCAGGGGGAAATACCTTGTACTTTTAGTGAAATTAAGATTAGTGACATCATGGGGCCGGCATTGTGGAATAGTAGGTAAAGCCACTACCTGTGACACTGGCATCCCAGATGAGCACCAGTTCAAGTCCTGGCTCCTCCACTTCCAATCCAGCTCCCTGCTAATATGCCTGGGAAAGCAGTGGAGGATGTCCCAAGTCCTTGGGGCCCTGTACCCACATGGGAGATCTGGAAGAAAATCCTGGCACCTGGCTTCAGTCTAGCCCAATCTGACCATCATGGCCATTTGGGGAGTGAACCAGCAGATGGAAGATTTCTCTCTTTCTGTGTCTCCTTCTTTCTCTGTAACTCTGCCTTCCAAATAAATAAATCTTTTTTAAATAATTCATTTATTTAAAAAAAGATAAGTTACATCTGTAGCATTCAACTTTCTAACCAACCTAACAACCCTGAAAAAGAACAAAATAGTTTTGCATAGTGTAGACTATGCTTAATTAATGTGATTAATCTTCATTTGGTTCTCATTATATCACATTCTTTTTTGCATATTTGCAATATCAAGATAAATTTTTAGGAATCAATATCTAGTTGCCTAATGGAAGTACACAGTCTTCCATTTCTTCTTTTCTGAAAGGTTAAATAATATTTGTCCATTCAGATGTCCTGTTCTCCCTCTCAATCGTAAGGGATCACCCTATTAAGACCACATCTGGGGGTCGGCGCCATGGCTCACTTGGTTAATCCTCTGCCTGCAGCACCGGCATCCCATATAGGCGCCAGGTACTAGTCCCGGTTGCTCCTCTTCCAGTCCAGCTCTCTGCTGTGCCCCGGGAAGGCAGTGGAGGATGGCCCAAGTGCTTGGGCCCTGCACCAGCATAGGAGACCAGGAGGAAGCACCTGGCTCCTGGCTTCAGATTGGCGCAGTGCGCCGGCAATACAATACAATACAAATATAATACAAAATACAATACAAATACAAAACACAAACTGACCACTGGGTGTGCTGAGGAGGACAATCTGATGTTGCTACTGGATGCTTAAGGGTAGGTAGTGGCTCAGGTCTGTCTTTCTTGTCCTCGCCCCATCCCTGACCTTTCCTGCCATGCCCTGAGCAGAGTGTGTGCTGTCTCTCCAACAGTTGTGGACATGGATGGAAGACCTGCAGAAGGAGATGCTGGAGGATGTTTGTGCAGACTCTGTGGATGCGGTCCAGGAACTGATCAAGCAGTTCCAGCAGCAGCAAACCGCCACCCTGGATGCCACACTCAATGTCATCAAGGAAGGCGAAGACCTTATCCAGCAGCTCAGGTCAGCGCCTCCCTCCCTGGGGGAGCCCAGCGAGGCCAGGTCAGCATGGGCAGTGCTTCCCAGTGGGAAATACCTCGGGCTAGATGCAGATAAGTCATGTCCCCCCAGTCTTGACTCAGCCACAGCCCACTTTGTTGTGTTATGTGAACTTCAGTCTCTTCGTCTATAAGACATAAAAATGCCTGCACCATACCCAATTTGAGTTTAGAATAAAATAATAAGTGGAAAAGCTCTGATGTTTCAAAACATCCTTTATCATTCAAGATGTTATCTGACAATCAATAAGTAGCATAAATATAAGAAAAATGAACAAAATTCAATAGCAAAAATTTTTCAATAAGAATATGCATATTTGGCCATGTGAAAAAATTCATATTATGGAATATAGTGTTACTTGGAATGGGATCCTGGACTGAACTCTGAGTTCCAGTGCCCTACTGCTCCCATTTGTTAACATTTGGCTTTGGTCCAGAGAGGATGTGGAGAATATGTGATATCATCCTGCCCAGTTGTCCGGGACTCACTGAGGACTTTTGCACTACTCCTGCTGCCCTCTGTGTCCATGTAAACGAATGTAACTATAAAGAAAAATTCCACCTAAAACCTTTCATTCATTTAGAATTGCCTACACTGTTGCCTCCTTTCTATTGGCATCAATGTCTAGCTTCTAGCACTGGCACTAGCTCCTCAGATAAAGTGTCATAAAGCCTTGGGCAAGCCCTCAGCAACCAGTCCAGTGCCCAGGTACTGTGTAAATAGGATTTGATGCTGCTAATGATATCTTCCTGCAGGAACTTGTTCCTATCCTAAAATCACTGAGTGCTGGGACCTCTGCCAACTTGACAGAAATAATCTCATCAGCAAGTCCCAAACTAACTTGGGGCCTAGGGGAATTATTTCAGTTGGAGAGGACTTCCCCCACGTACACCAGTTGTCCAATTAAATAAACGATGAGAAATTACCTTGAGAAGGCTCTGGCATCCTATTCTGTTGGAAATTAATAATTTCTATTCTAAACATACTCATGAGGTGTTCTGAGTCCTCCTGTTACATACTAACAAGACAGTCTCTTTCCCATCTTCCCTCAATTCATCTTCATGAATATGTAATGCATGACAGTTTTGTCTAGTTTCCCAGGAAACTCCACTGTCATTTGCTTCTGTAAAATCCCAAATCACGGGCAGTCACTTCACCTCTCTGGGCCTTAGCTGCTTTGTCATGTAATTAAGGAGTTCACTCTAGGAGCCCTGTCAGCTCTAGAACTTTGCCATGACTTTGTGCTATCTCTTCAAATACTTTTCATAGGATTGCTGGCTTCATTCTCCATGGGGCTGGGCCTGTGGAGATGCCATTTGCTCTTAACAGCTGCCAACCTTGCACAGTCCTTTCTAAAGGCTTAAGACTACTTGGTGATGGTGAAGGCAACAATGTGGGTGATGATTGTTCTTCGTTTAAGTTCCACAGAATTTAAAGGGTCACATGAACTTGTGATAAACAGCTGCCTGTGACCACTCATGTCTCAACTAGCCTGACTTCTCCAGGCTCCCTTCCCTCACATAAAGGTGAACAGAGGAAGAGCTTAGTGCACATGGGTAGGATGCCTCACATGCACCTGAAACATACCTTCACTAGGTTTCCGTGGCACTGGTCCCTAGAGCATCTAGCGCTGTTTCTGCATCATCTACGTGATTCCTAGTTAGTGTTCTGCTGACACCAAATGATCAGAAATAGTTCCCTTCCTCCTGGGATCTGTGTGATGGAGAAAGATTAAGGGAGCAGTCTGAGATAACAGTCATCCTCTAGCAGCAAACTAATCCTCAACAAGTACATAATGGATGGTGTTGCGTATGTCTCTTACGTCCTTTTTATGATAAGGGGTGTCAGTGCAATAATGTGAGTAGGAATCATGCTTGTTTCCTGCTCAGAGAACTGAGAGCTCTCTGAATTGTAGAGGGAGAGATGCTTGACAAACTGCCCCTTTCCTGTCTTCAGAAAGAGACCTTGTGAGCTCAGATACCATTGTTTCTGAAATAAGCACAGGCTAAAACTACTTGGCTTTCAGAAAGCTTACTGAAGAAAGAAGTCAAAACTAATGTTTTTTGCCTTTTCCTCTGACTTATTAAATTATATAAGAAATCAAGATGTCACAAGGTAATGAATATGCAAGTTTATTTCAAGTTTTAGGGCTCTAGCATACTCATGGCCCCATAGAATCTAAACTTCATAGTCTTTGTAGTTTCCCTATCACAGTGATCTCTCTGCATGTTTGATAACCACCTCACTTCTCTGAACAAGTCAGCATGATGTGTCATCCTCCCCCCACTAAGAGAGCACACTCCTTTCATCTACTTGACTGTATACATGAGTTTCTCCAAATGCCCAAATCAGATCTCACCCTCTGTGAAGCCTTTGTTGGTTGCTCCAACCCTCCAACCTCTTGTGACCTCATCTTCACTCTTCCAAGTTGGGCCTATGCCCCACTTAGCACTTGACACTTCCCTTGTCTCTTTTCAGGATTAATTGTTCCTAGAGCACATTACAAGTCGCAGTTTACAGGCAGTATCTTATTTAACAGCAAACTGTGGAGTGAACAATGTAGGATGGTAAAATCCAGTTTGCAAATGAGACAGCCAGGGCTCAGGGAGCTGATTTCCCAGGGCCCGCAGCTCCTATATTGTTGAGTGGAGATCTAATCCAGGCTTGCAGACTCCAGATTGCATGCTTTCCAAGCTACAGCTTGAAGCCCCTTTAATAACACATGACTTTGCCATAACCTTGACATAGCATTGTAAAATAGATGAATAATTTTTACCACAATGACAGAATCTAATTTTAATAATCCTGCAAGGTAAAACTATGAAGGTTATCTTTATATGCCTTTGTCTACCCTTATGTGTTCTATGTATGTGTATTAAAATTATGCATGTTAGACTATATATATATTCACTTAATATTGTATTTTTGTACAGACCTTTCCCATATGTTATTTCCTTTGTCTTCTTTGATTACTTTCACAGTTCTGTCCAAGAAATAAGAGAGCAACTAGTCTTGGAAATACAGAGTTGTGAACCCAAAAGGGGATGCATGTATCTTTGGTTCACCTACTAAACAGAAAGTGTCAGACTCATAAGAGGAGTCTGATAAATTTCTGTTGAATGAATGGTGTACCTGGTTAATGCCCACCTTGTTCAGGTGAGGAAGACCCGTCTTTTTCTGTCACTTTTAACACGACAAGACCTCTCCTCCCCTTCTTTCTCCCCTGCTCCATCACAGGGACTCTGCTGTGTCCAACAACAAGACGCCCCACAGTAGCTCTATCAGCCACATCGAGTCGGTCCTACAGCAGTTGGACGATGCCCAGGTGCAGATGGAGGAGCTGTTCCACGAGCGAAAGATCAAACTAGACATCTTCCTGCAGCTGCGCATCTTTGAGCAGTACACCATTGAGGTAGAGGAGGAGGGGCAGGGAAGGCAGGGGGCAGTGCCAAAAACAAAAGACAGTGTCCTAAGGGAGACCAAAGGAATTATGCATGATGGATTCAATTTTCAGAACTCAAGAAAGTGTCTACCATGATATACTTTTTTTTTTTTTTTTTTTTTGACAGGCAGAGTGGACAGTGAGAGAGAGAGACAGAGAGAAAGGTCTTCTTTTGCCGTTGGTTCACCCTCCAATAGCTGCCGCGGCCAGCGCACCGCGCTGATCCGATGGCAGGAGCCAGGTACTTATCCTGGTCTCCCATGGGGTGCAGGGCCCAAGCACTTGGGCCATCCTCCACTGCCCTCCCTGGCCGCAGCAGAGAGCTGGCCTGGAAGAGGGGCAACCAGGACAGAATTTGGCGCCCCGACCGGGACTAGAACTTGGTGTGCCGGCGCCGCAAGGCGGAGGATTAGCCTAGTGAGCCATGGCGCCAGCTTGTGATATACTCCTTCCAGTCCCTCTTATCTCCTCTGCTAAGCAGAGCCCTCTGTGTTACATCCTGTCTTTGGGCTACTCCATTGAGAAGGTTTTGTTGCTGCTCATTGGACTCTTACATTGTTCTTTGGTTTCTTGGAAGACTGTGGAGTTGGATGTTTGGTGATCTAGGTAGAGTCACTAAATTCCATGGCTTCGTGATTGCAATTAGGTAGCCTCCTCAACTGATGAATATGAATCAGAGATTAGAAGAAATCATTTACCAGCTAAGAATCCAGGAGCCACAGGCAGGAAGACTGTCCTTAGTTTGACCTTGACATGTTAGAGAGTCAGTCCTTGCGAAAGCCTTTTGTTGATTCCTCTCATAGAGTCGTTAGTTCATGTCTGAGAAGGTCAGAATCATATGTTCTGATATATTTATGTCCTCTGTCCCCATTTGTGATACCAAATAATAATGTCTGCCACACATCATGTCCACCTTTTATTATTTAATACTTTTAAACTGTAACTAAATCCAGGCCTTTAGAATTTCTGGAGTATAAAACTTATCTAGCACATAAGTCACTCTTTTTGTAGGTGTGGCAAAAGGTCAAATGAAAGTCATTGTCTTCTTTTTGCTCCTGCCTAATATTATAGGAGAGAAAGCCAGTTTTCCTTCTACTATTTCTTTTTAACTTTATTTTGCACTCTAAACACCTATTTTTAATGTATACTCAAAATTATTTAGTGTGGCAAGCAATCAGAAAAACATTTTGGAAGAACAATTAAGATACCAGTGGAAAATGAAATATTGTTATGTCATAAAAAGTATCTGATGAACTTCGTAAAGGTGAGGTGACAAAAAACGTTAAGAGAAGAGAGAAAAGGTGAGAGTCATTATTCTCTAGTAATTGGGAGTGAAGTTCACTAAAATAAATAAGGGTTATTACATTTTATTAAAGAAATGTAGGCTCCAGGAACTCCTGCAATCCTTTCCCAGCTCCATTTCACCTACTGGGAATTAATATATTCTTGGAAAAAATTATGATGGCAGATGAGGTGATTTTGTTCTTGTATATTTATTCTCCTGTTATTTCAGACCCACATCAAAAAATGCTCAAGGGGAAAGAAATAACCTGAAGATTTCTGTGTTTCAGTTTTATTTAATTAGGTGGATATGGTTTGGAGGGATCAAGATTGCTGGTTTAGACCCAGAATGGGTCAGTTAGCTTACTTTCAAAATCGACTGCACCCCTGACGTCAACTGGGGATATCACTGGCATGTATTTGTCTGCAGTGATTCTGAGCAAATCGAATCTCACTCCTGAAAACCAACCCAGAGCCTGTACAGAAAATATCCTTTAAAAATATGAGTGTAAATCAAATACTTTAAAACTGGATCCTATTTAAATGTTGCCATAGAAAAGCATGATATTTAAAGGTAGGATTTGCATTCTGCAGCCTTTCTATGTATAAAAATTCTTCTTCCCACCCTGAGAACTGGACAACAACTTGGACAATTTGGTATAAAGTGGAGCAAAAGTGGGGAATTACTCATACAGCAAGGAAGATAAAAATAGTGATTTGCTTGTATGTCCTCTGGTTTGGTTATGATGTCCAGGTATCAGAAGAGATCTTGTTCCTCATTTGGGGAGGCTTAAAGTTTGGGGAAAATGATGAATCTAATTTTAGATAGAAATGGAAATCGTGCCAAATCTATGGAAAAGCTCTGCTTCAAGTCATATTGTCAGAAGTTAATTTTGAGGGTGATGAGATTATTTCATATACCAGCTATGGTTCACTGTGAGGATGAAGAGCAAACTTTTAGAGACGCTTCAGAGTGTGAGACTGAGGGTGGTTTCTGTCATGAGAGACATGTCAGAGCTGACATAAGCCAGGCAGGCCCTGTGCTTGCAGGACCAACAGCTGTGGTTCTTGTCTTAAAGGAAGGCATTTGATGGACATACTCCAAATTCCTAGGGATTACTGAAAACCAAAGCAGGCCTACCGCCTAGACAGTTGGGAGTCTAAGAATGACTTCTTAACCATGTCACCAATGGCTGAGGTGAGCCAACTAATTTAAAAATTAGGATAGCAGGAGTTGTTGCACAAGTCTTCTTTTACTCAATAAAAATGGTGTATATATGGCTCCCACATTATAACCTAAAATGAGATCATCCCCACATAAAGTGAAACTTATCCCAAATTTATTTGGCAGATGTTTAAATCCAGGACCATGGCTGCATTCTTGACATAGCTCTTGAACATTTGGATACTAGACACAGTGACCCAGAGGGGAACGTGGCATTCTAGAGAGTTTTCCCTTTTTTCTCGTAGGTTCAGCTTCTTTCTCTGACAGTCATTTTAGATGAACTGGTTGTGATAGAAGAGATACTTCACCAAATGCTAATAATGTCTATGTTGTGATGGTAAGAATGTGGGTGATTCTTTTTTCTTTTTTTTTTTTTAAGATTTATTTATTTGTTTGAAAAACATAGTTACAGAGAGAGAGAGAGGGTGAGAGAGAGGTATCTTATCTTCTATCCACTGGTTCACTCCCTAAATAGTCACAATGACAGAAGCTGGGCTGATCAGAAGCCAGGAGCCTCTTCCAGGTCTTCCATGTGGTGCAGGGGCCCAAGCACTTGGACCAACATCCACGGCTTTCCAGAGCACATTAACAGGAAGCTAGACTGGAAGTGGAGTAGCCAGGAGTGGAACAAATGCCCATATGGGATGCTGGCACCACAGGCAGTGTGGCTTGACCTGCTATGCTACATCATTGGCCCCTTTTCCTTATTTTTGATACTTTCTTACATTTCCAAGTTTTCTATGGTAATAATGATTAAAAAGAAATAAAAAGTATTTTGGAAGCAAATACAGACTCCTTTTTGACTATGTAGCCTTTCAACAAAATAATTTTGAACTTGAAGCCATACACACACACACATCTATTTGTTCATAGATTATTAAAATGTTCACTAGCTAATAATCTCAAAACTCAATATGCCCTTCAGACCAAATTTAGCTTTTTCATTATAAGCTGTGGTTCTGTGTTTTACATAGTTTTCAGATAATTTTCATTTTTTTTTTCTTTTTTTGACCTGGCTTCTTGACAGAAGTGATTAGATTGTCATTGTTTTCTTACCCCCACAGTGTGGCTGACAGAATTCAAAATTTGCTTTTGCTTTTGTTACTAGTATAATCTTCAAGCTGAAATTCCTTTGTAAAAAACTTACTAAGCCACGTGTCTTTTTGTTTAAAAGATCAGTTTAAACTTCATAATAGATAAATCCATTTAACAAGACACATGAAAAGAGCAGTAATTAACAATATGCTGACAGTGATGAAGAAACAATCCACAGTCAACCCCTCTGAATTTTGGCACTCCTTCCTTCCCTAAGGAGCCCTCTGCAACCACACACTGCACAAAACCATCTGCCATATGGCCAGAGTGAGACTCCAACATGAATCTACTAACAAAAGTTTAGGGAAACTTCATATGGCTTTTATCTGATTAAATGATTTATGAGGGTATTTCAAAAAGTTTGTAGAATTAAAAGATAAGTTTAGGGGCAGGCATTTGGCCTACCAGTTAAGTTACCAGTTAGGATGTCCCCAGCATTGGAGTGCCTGAGTTCCATATCTACTCTGGCTCTTGATTCCAACTTCCTGCCAATATGCACCCTGGGAGGCAGCAGCTGCCACCTGTCTGGGAGACCTGAACTGAGTTTCTGACCCCCAGCTTCAACTTCCAGTTTTGCTGTCATGGATATTGTGGGCATTCGCAGAGTGACCTAGAAAATTGGAGCAAATTTCTCTCTCTCTCTCTCTCTCTCTCTGTTTGTGTGTGTGTGTGTGTGTGTGCCTTTCAAGAGATAAGTTTATTTTTATGTAAATATTTTTGAAATTCATGCATAGTTTTTTCTAACACACATTTTCCATGAGCTTCTTAAAGACCCCTTAAATGCCTGTTTATACAGGAAGAACTTTTCTGTCTTTTCAATAAATGATCTTGGGTACCTCTTGAGGTGGGCATACTCCTGTTGGAGAGTCCTAGAAATGATGCTGAGAAAGGTACTACATAGACTTTATGAAAAATATGGGCCACATTTATGGTTTTGCCTTTAAACTACTCTGTAATGGCAAACAAAGTTTGCTTGATGCACCTGAAAGTTTGTGAGTAATTAACCTGAGCAAGGAATGGAACAACCAACTCTAAATTATGGGATTCATATTATGACAAGTTGGGTCAGGTAAGGCAAGGAAGAAATGAAATTCAAGGAGGAAATTTCCGCCTAGAGAAGGGAGAGCTGACTGTAACTTACTGGTGGTCTCAACTCTTCAGCTGGTAGTGTGCAGAGTCCCTTAGCATTTTATATTAGAGATTGTTTAGTCAGCCTTCTACTTGTTTAAAAACTGAATGGAGTAAACATTTATTGAGCACCTGCTATGTACCAAAAACTTTGCTGGGCATTAAGGATACAACAGTCCAAGCAATTAGCAGCCTAGTTGTAGAGAAACATCTTCAGAAAACCATCAGGCAATGTGATAATTCTATGACAGAGGCTCACGTTACATATATGTGTGTATGTATGTATTTATTTATTTGAAAGGCAGAGTGACAGGGGAGAGAGTACACAAGAGATCTTCTATCCACTGGTTCACTCCACAAATGGCCACAATGGCTGGAACTGGGCCAGGCTGAAGCCAGTAGCCCAGACCTCCATTGGTCTTCCACATGGATGGCAGGGAACCAAGCACTTGAGCCATCCTCTGCTACCTTGCCAGGCACATTAGCAGGGAGATGAACTGGAAGCAGAGCAGCTGGGACTCAAATCAGTGCTCTGATACAAGTGGCAGCTTAATCCACTGCACCACAAAATCAGCTCCAAGTCTCACATTTTGTTTTTGTTTTTTTGTTGTTGTTGTTGGTTCTTTCTATTGTTATTTATTTAAAAGGCAGAGTTATAGAGAGAGAGAGAGAGGAAGAGGCAGATCTTCCATCTAATCTGCTTGTTCACTCCCCAAATGGCCAGAACAGCTATGGCTGGGCCAGACCAAATCCAGGAGACAGGAGTTTCTTCTGGGTCTCTCACACGGGTGCAGGGACCCAAGCACTTGGGCATCTTCTGCTTTCGTAGGCACATTAGCAGGGAGCTGGTTCAGAAGTGGAGCAGCTGGGACTTGAACTGGCACCCACATGAGATGCTGGTGTTGCAAGCAGCAGCTTTACCTGCTACGCACGGAGCTGGCCCCAAGGTTCACATTTTGATGAGAACACCGAATGGAGAATTCTTTATTCAGTCAGCTGCCCATGGAAGATTTTTCAGTGGGATTATACCTAGAAGATAGGTAAAAGTTGGTAGCCAGGATTTGGCATCCCTGAAAGGTACTCTGCACCCCCTTTTGGGATATCCACAGAGCCCAGATGCAGACGTGAGGGGGAAGGGAGAGATAAAGAGACACTTGGGATTCACTATTGTGTTGAACCAGTCTCCACCTTTTTATACTTTAATTGTTGTTCCGTTTCAGGAGTGGAAGTGGGAGTGGGATTCTGTCCCTTCTTTTGTTTAGAAGCCTTAAAAATATCTGAAAATATTTATCAGAGTCCTTTTTTCCTTTATCTGAAAAATCATGAAATTATAAGAAGATTATGTGTGTGAATTCTGCAGTCCCCTCCAACTTCAAAAGTCCTCTGACTACTTCTGTTCATTGTCGGCCCTGCTCTGTAGTATGCATCCTCAGTATAACCAGCAGGATTGGTCTCTAACTAGTGTCTTGGTCTCCCTGTGGTGAAGGGACTCTAGTTGGCTGTGCTCAGCTTACATGCACACACCATGGATGTTTCCTGTTCAGGGTTGTGGTGCTGTCTCAAGGCAGCCCAAGATAGGTGCCTTTTCAATGAATTCATCACCTCTGTCTGGTCTATGTTTGTGGTCACTTTAAAGCCCCTGGTATTTTCAAGGTAAGTACATCCAATACATTGACTTTTTAAATTTTATTTAATTTTCCCCTCAATTTTTACTTTTTTTTTGGCATAGTTATTCATCCTATGAAAGTAAATTTATATTATTACCAACCGTTCAAAATGTTGGCCAGGTCAAGGATATATGGTGATTCACTGGAGGTTCTCCTCTGGATGTCGCAGCCCTGAGGCTGCACAGTCTTTGTCTGCTGTGAGTTGTCTTCCAGCCCAACTTCATCACTGTTTCTCCTGTAGGTACAGAGTGAGATTCTGCAAAGCTTTGCCATTTTCCATGTTTGCAAGTTGCCATATCCTCCTACAGAATAACTATATCAAGAAAGAAAATAAGATCTATTTGAGATAATACGTGTGGATTCTTCCTGGTGATCAGTGTAACATTTTCTAAATGTACCCAGTTCCTTTGAGAAGGAAATACAGGATAAATGTAATGAAGTAAACCTAATTCCCCACAAAATAATTATTTGACACAGTCTTCCGCTAAACATTTTTCAAATTGATTTCAGAATCATTGTGATGTTTCATCTTCCTTTAAAAACTCCTTTCGCAATTATTTACACAGCTTTATTATTCTAGCAAGCCATCTGTTTTCAGGAAATCAAGGATCTCTAACAGACACTTTCCGGTCATTCTATATTGGGCTGGGTCTGAGCCTGTGGGCCTGAATTCAGGTAGCATTGTCAAGGTTCAAATGCTGTGTGGTCCTCCTTTCTGGTAACTATGCAGAAGGGAGCATGTAAAGGAACAACACTATTATTTAGCTTGCAAGGAGAAAAGGACATTCCAGCACTCAAGCATTTCGGGTACTAGAATGAATGGCAGCATATGTGGTAGGAACTCTTCAACAAAGGGAGGCACTTTTGAAAACAGAATAGAATTCCATAAGTCTCAAATTGATGAGGTAAAGTTATAGACTGAATTCCTCCTCAGGATACCCTCCAATGCTGTTTACAAAGCCATGGTCATATCAAAGACTTCAGTATTAATCATAATGATGCTGAAGAAAAGAACTTGAAATTGGCAATAAAAATGATACAGTTATCCAAATTATCCAGTTGGAATATAAATTATTTAATTGAACATTGGAACTAATCAATTATAACATCTTGCAATTTGTTCTTACATTATTTTGCCAAAAATTTGAAACTGGAGTGGATTTCTTTACTGCCCTGTTCCTTGGATTTTCCAGAAAATGCTTGCAATATCCTCAAAAGTCTTGATATAGCTGTTTAAATATTTTAACTCTTCAGACAGATTATATGTTTCTGAAATGGAAGGAAATGATATGATGCCTTTAAAATAATCTGTTTTAGAATTCACAAATCTCATCATTTTATAAATTGGCTAACAAAAAGGAATTTAACACTATACTGGACAAGAAGCATAAGTGACCATGGTAATTTAACTTACTTTAGTTTCAAAGTAAGAGATATAGATATATCATACAAATCCATATATATAAACATACAAACAAATTATAGAGAAAATAGCTCTTTCCAATGCAATGGAATAGTCTTTTCAGCTACAGTTTATTTTTCCCTCTCAGCTAGCTCTTATAGGCCAATGGAGAATATTTAGCTTTCACTTTTCTCATTTAATAAAAACAATGACATCATAACATAAAAAGATACTCATTGTGTAATAGGCAACCCATGCATTTCTGCAGCATTCCATCACTATGAAGTGTCAAGGGTCCTAGTTCCCCACTGTTGCTAGGAATGGGATTGAACCTTAATATATGCAACATGTGTAATGTTGCTTAATCTATATAGTCACCTGCTGAGGGCAGGAGTGCCATCTTCAAAACTGCAAAGTTTAGGGCTACATTTCCTGGGCTTGAAACCTGTGTCACTAACTTTACTCATCACTTAACCATAAGCAGTTACTTAAGGTCTTGAAATCTGTTTTGTCATCTGAGAAATGAGGGTGAGAATAGTATTTCCCGGTTGTGAAGATTTCGTGTGTGTGTGTGTGTATGACATTTTTAAGCAAAGCTCTTGGCACTTAATTAGCACTTAATAACTTATTGCATTAGAGTCACCATTATTATTATTCAGAACATACTTTTATATATAAATGTGCTTCCATGTTTTAAGCAATTAAGCACCCATCATTTTCTTTCCGTTTTCTCATCTGTTACTGATTAGTATGAGAGGACCCCTAGGGTTCATGTAGAGCCCTGCTGTGGGAACTGAAGGCATTTGGTGCTGCCATTTGGAGAACCTGCCTGTGTAGGGAGCAGGTGACACATCTCTGCTGTAGCTGTAATCCTTCTGATCATACCCAAGACCAGATTACAATGTGTCTGCTGTTCCTGACAGAGAAACCAGAGAATCCCAGATTGATAACATTGCCCTTATACTGAGCAATCAGTCTATTTTTTAAAAAAAAAGTATTATTGGAGTTTAAAATTTGAGGGATGTCATTGTGTTTTCTTATAAGGGTAAATTATGCCAGATGTTGATATAAGGCCACAACCACACAATTAATCTATTGATTTGATCAAAAACACATGATTAATTTAAAAAGTTCATGTGGAGTGAGGAAGGATAAACTGGCACTTCTCTCTCCAGTCAGCTCTCAGAGCAGTCTTGTTGATGTAATGCCAGGCTTAGGAACATTTCACTTCATTGTTAAATGCAGCTCTGCCGCCACCAGCATAGACCATGCCGAGACAATGCAAAAAACTAAATTCTCTGTGCGTTCATTTCCTCCTCAAGTTGATAGGTCAAATGCTTAACTCACTATTCCGTAATGAATGCACAATGCAAAGTAAAGTATCTTCTTTAGCCGTATCATCATCTTCATCACAGTCATCAACATCTAAAAATGATCTGAAGGAAAGAACAGCACAGGGAGATTTCCAACTCTGTGTTAATGAAGAACTGAGTTGTTGAGAATAGGCCACAGGAAGTGGAAGAGAAAGAGGCAAGTGAATTTTGATTCAGGCAGATAGAGAATGAAACACTTAGGGAAAGGAGTTAAAGGTATTTGTATGCATAAACACGAGAAAGACCCAGAGAACTGGAAGATGCCTTTTGAGAGAGCTCTGTGTGAACTGAGATCAAAGTGGCTGCTAACTAACTCATCTCTGATGGATCGATTTTTGGCAGCCGAATACTGAATTTGGTGACTCTTATCTGGCAGGAAAGCCTTGGAATTTTTTTCTGAATGAGCCTTCTAATTTCCTCTTACCTTGTCCTTTTTTTTTTTTTTTTTAAGTTTCTCCTCTGATATCCCGTATTTCTGTATCTAGAGTACACAATTGTGGACTAGAAATATTGCCAATGTATCCCTCAAAGAAGTCATCATATCCTAACCCTGCAATTAATTCAGGACAGTGAGGGGCCAGAGGCCACCAGAGCCAAGAGGGAAACTGAGCAGGCCAAGAGCTGAGAGGGAGGTAATTGAGTGGAGGAGAAAGCAAAATAGGTTGACTGAAAGCCGTTTGCCCCCTGGGGACATTGAATTCCACCTTTCATTCATTTGGTCCAGGCCCTAGTTTCTGGCCTGAACTAATTCTCTCTAAATGCAGTTAAATAACCACATTCATTCCCTGTGAAAGTTTTTCTTTTTGCAGCCTTGTGTCTGTGTTAGCAAACGAACCCACATTCCATGTTAGAAGATGAGCCAAAGGAAAACATCTGGGCCTGGGAGTTTTCATGAAATTCTTCATGCCAGAGGACTTGTTTTGAAGCATGGTCAGGACTTAAACATACTGAGAGAAGGGACGAGCATTTCAGGGCTATTGGATCAGGGAAGGAGGCTGTAAGGGGTAGGACTCACTCTCAAGATTGACAGTAAACTCACTAGTTCATGACAGAAGTGCTTGAGGTAAGCGTGGAAAGAGAGATGTGTCCATTAGCAGTAAGGTAAGCTGCACCTTTAAAAACAGATTTTTCTTTAAAAAATAAATAAAAAGCATCTAATATGCCAGCCTTGTACCCCAGAAGGAAGGTGGGGAGGAGGAACCCCATAGGAGAATATTCTTTGAGGAAGCAGAATTCACTCAGGGAAGAGAATAAACTCCAGCAAAGATTAAAAATGTGCCGGTCAGACTAAATGAAGACTGTGGGCACCAGTGCTTGGGAGGAACAGGAGGAAGGTCATGTAGATCCACGAAGGTTTGAGTCAGGCTGTTCTGTTGGGTAGCCCCTTGAAATCATCATTTTTCAATCATGATAGACTTTTGCTCTTGTCAGGTGAGGAGGGAGGAGGAAGGAAAGGAGAGGGAAGAAGAGAAAGTAGAAACGCTGGAGTAGAATCCTGGACACATTGCACATTCGATTTAGATTCCAGTTCCCAAGACACCAGACGTCTAAGCCTCATTCTTCTAACGCACCTCAGCCTTCCCCTGCTTTCCGCACCTGAACTCTTCCCACACCTTTCCTTGCCTTGGGACCACTTTGATATCTTTCTGCAAAGAAGAAAACATTCATCATAGAGTCAGTTTCATGGAAACAAAACAAAAACTAAAATGGAAAGGAAAGGCAGACTTTCTTTTCAAGCTTGTTTTCTGAGGTTTTTTTCGGTCCCCTAATTTCCCATAGTTACTAGGCAAGGAATGAACTAGAAATTGTGGTTTGAGCCATTTTCAGTATATCACCTCTTAAACAGATTATGTCTACAATATATGAAGTACTCTTACAAATCTATAATAAAATATAATTAACCCAGGGGCAGACATTTAGCCTAGCAGTTAAGATGCCATCAGGATACTCGAGTCCCAAATCAAAGTACCTGGGTTCCCTTCCCGGTCCTGGCTCCTGATTCCAGCTTCCTGATACTGCAGGCCCTGGGAGGCAGTAGCAATAGCTCAAATTTCTGCCAACTACATGATAGACCTGGATTGAGTTCCTTGTTCCCAGTTCCATATTAGTAGATGGGATCTCTTTCTCTCTGTGTGTCTGTCCCTAAAATAATAAATTAATAAATATGATGAACCTAGTTTTTAAAAGGCAAAAGGCTTGAAAAGAATTATCTTACATGTACAGAGGACCAATAAACATCGGAAAATGTGTTTGACATCATTAGTCATCAGGGCAACATGAGTCCATAATGAGCTAGCATCTCATGCCCACTAGCGTAGATGAAGTTAAATAGACTGATAATGCCAAATAATGAAGATGTAGAGAAACTGGAACTTTCATACATTGCTACTGAGAATGTAAACTGTCACAATAACTTTAAAAAACTCTCTGACAGTTTCCTATAAAGTTAAATATATACCTGCCCTTTGACCCTATAATTCCATTCCTAGGTAATCACTGAAGAACAGTGATTTCTATGCTCACAGAAAGATCTGTAGAAAAATTGTCACCTCAACATTATTCTCAATAGACAAATACTGGAAACGACCAAAAAGTTAATCAGCAGGAGAATAGATAAACAAATTATAGTTATCTATACCATGGAATATCATTCAACTATAGCAAGGAATCAAAAGTTGATACAACATGAATGAATTTCAAATACATCATGTTGAACAAAAGAGGCCAAACATAAAAGAGTGCATACTGTATGATTTCAATCATACGGAATCCAAGAATAGGCAAAGCTGTATCTATGATGTTAGAAATCAGGAAGTGGTCCCTGGAGTGGGGGTTGAGGGAGGGCAGAAACTGACTGGAAGGGACATGAATAGAGTCTCAGGGTCACACACAAACAGAGAGAGAGAGAGAGAGAGGTGATAGCTACACAGGCATATAAAATTATAAAAATTCAGAGCTGAATCCTTAAAATTTGTATATAAATTATATTTATTTTTTAAATATAAGAAGTAAAAGCATTGGCCTATTAATCTTGTAAATTCTCTCATAAATTGCAAATCAATTTTCTTCTCTATTTAACCCCTCTCTAGTTAGAGAATAAAGTACTTTCCAAAAATGAGGCTATAACAGAAACATGTTTCTGCTACCAATCTATAGTTCCCAGATCTACCAAGAACTTCCTACAATGAGTAGATACTATGTCTTCCTGTCGAACTTAGTGAATCCCGGAGTTAAAAAGATATAGGGGCAAGAGGTGGGATCGCAGGGCAGTGAGGGTGGTATTTTTACAGTTCTCCCATATCTTCTTCAAAGAGAGCAACTACACTTTCATGTGTTTCTATTTTGCTTGAAGAAAGGTCTTACTGTTAGACGACAAATGGAATCCTGTGACGCAGACAGCAGCCCCTGTGAAGCACTGCCTGGTGTTCCCATTCCAGCGAGCGTAGTCCCCACACAGAATGAAGAACGCCTCTCCCACTGGCCTCAGGCTGGGCTTTCTTTTCCCTGTGCTCCAGTGCCCCTGCAGCAGCAGCACTTAGTAACTGGGAAGGAGATATCAAGGCTCCTGGTGCTGCAGAGACAATGGAAGAACCAATTATGGATATCAGCAAAACTTTTTTTTTTTGACAGGCAGAGTGGACAGTGAGAGAGAGAGACAGAGAGAAAGGTCTTCCTTTGCCATTGGTTCACCCTCCAATGGCCGCCACGGCTGGCGCGCTGCAGCCGGCACACCGCAGCCAGCGCACCGCGCTGATCCGATGGCAGGAGCCAGGTACTTATCCTGGTCTCCCATGGGGTGCAGGGCCCAAGCACTTGGGCCATCCTCCACTGCACTCCCTGGCCACAGCAGAGAGCTGGCCTGGAAGAGGGGCAACCGGAACAGAATCCGGCACCCCGACCGGGACTAGAACCCGGTGTGCCGGCACCACTAGGTGGAGGATTAGCCTAGTGAGCCGCGGCGCCGGCCTTCAGCAAAACTTTTAAAAGGTGGCAAAACAAAAGTAGCCAGACACTACATGCAAGTTACATTCAACTGTGTGGCTGCCTCTTACCCTGCTCCCTAGCAGAAATGAGATTCACCATAACAAAGTCTGCTGAACCAGGGGTATATGCTTAGACTGCTTGAGCAGACTGCAAATGTGTAACCTGGGTGAGACTTTATTTGAAAAAGATGATGAGTACCTATGCTATTGCCTTCACAGAGCTACTGTGGGGGAGAAGGGGATATGAGATAACAGATCTGAAAACCACATTTAAGAAGTTTTAATTTTGATTCAAGTATCAGGAGGAATGATTATCTAATTCTGTATCGCTAAGATCCTATTCTGTGGATGACCACGTAGATCGTAAAAGAGCTAAACTGGACTTAGTCTTGTGTGCAGAGCTGAAAGTAGAGTAAGTGAAATCATGTGAGTTAGGGGGTGGAGCAATAAAACCTTAGCAAATTCACAGGAGGACAAGTTTTCCATTTATTACATGGCTCAGTCCTTATTAAAATCATTAATGTCTTTCAATTGATTAACATCTGCTTCAATTTTCAGAGACAGCACACTTACACGTTATGTAGTTGCTATTTCCAGGCATCAGCTTTTGTAATAAAGGGAGAGGATACTGCACAATGGAACACAGGGACCATGAGGGAACCCTTGGGTTAGCTCTACACCAACTCATTAACCAATTGTGTCACCTTGGGCCATTCCCCAGGCTTCTCTAGCCTTGGCTTCTGAATAGACGCTCCACTGTTTAACTTCTGAGAACCTCTTCATTTGGGAAAAATTTTTAGATCAATAGTTGTGAGAAGGTGTGCAAAGTGTTTGCAGTCAGTTGAAGAACTGAACCACATCTGAAACTTTGCTCCTTGCCAGCAAGGTGAACTTTGGGCAGATCACTTCATCCATCTGAGAGGAAGTCAACAAGATGGACCTGGAGCTTTCTGGCTGCCTGCCTCATTGGGTCATGGGGGCTTTGAATGAGATGGCGTATACAAATCATTAGAAACCACCATTCAAAATACATGTATTAGCTACTATTCCTTTGCTGTTGCTATAGACATCGAAACATGCAGAGAATATTTTAAATCCACCTATCTATGATTGTGTGGCAGTGTTGCTTAAATATATTCTAAGGGTCAAAGAGATTTGACACCTCTCTTCAGAAGGGTGGATTAGTTATTAAGACATGGAGTGAGCTTCAACTTAGCACAGCCTAGAAGTCTCTCATGAACCCAGTGAGCCTGAACAAAATGATGGTGGTTCCCACACAGGTGACTGCAGAGCTAGATGCCTGGAATGAGGACCTGCTCCGGCAGATGAATGACTTCAACACGGAGGATCTGACCTTGGCAGAACAGCGGCTACAGCGGCACACAGAGCGGAAACTGGCCATGAACAACATGACCTTTGAGGTCATCCAGCAGGGCCAGGATCTACACCAGTACATCATGGAGGTCCAGGCATCAGGTAGGCACTCTACCATTCTTCTGGGGGCAGGGGGGATGATATAAGCAAGAATACAAGTTTGCCTCCCGGGATCATTTCCATGCTATTTTTCATTTTATTCCTACAAAGAACAGAAAAAATTTACCCCTGTGTAAGAATGAAATTGAAACCATGAGAGCTGAAGAAGCTTGTCCAAGATTATCCTATTAGGCTGTAGTAGAGATAGGAATAGGGCCAGGGTCACCCAGCACTACAGAGAGAATGGGGGAACCAGCGACTGAAATGAGCAAAAATTTTTTAAAAATAGCTTGAAAAAAATCACAGGCAGCCAGACACACATGCAAATTGTATTCAGGTGCATAGTTGCCTCCTAGTCTGCTCCCTGCTCCATCCCCGAAGGGAGTCTCCTGCCCTGCCCTCCACTACCAGATGGCCTCCTAGTCTCCATGCTTTGGAGTCCTCAATTTTTATCATTGGTTTGTGGATGAAGGTAAGTACTGCTGATAAAAAATTTATGGCAGCATCATATAATTTTATACCTTCTCAGAGACGTGGCTGTTACCCAGATTTAACTTCTTTTCCTGCTCAAGGTTTACTCAAAATTTATCTGACAAGTGCATGATACTTTATGTTCTGCCTGCTGCTCTCCAAGATGACCTTTGAGGTTAGAACTAGAGAGAACCTTTAGTGATCCCCAAGTACAGCTAGGCCACAAGGAAAGAAGCCACGCACCTTGTTGCGTATTGGTGGCATGCTGAAACCAAGGTCTTCCACTATCCACCCACCGTGTTGCCCTCCCTCCCAGAGCCTTATGGCTCAAGCTCCTCATTCTCCAATATGAAGTGGACAGTTGAGACCATCAAGTCTTAAAAACACAGTTGGGGGGTGGGCTTTTGGCACTTAGTTAAGTCACCACTAGGGATGCCTGCATCCCCTATCAGAGCGCCTGGTTCAAAACATTTCTACTTACTATTCTCCTGATTCCAACTTCCTGCTGAAACACACCTGGGAATGGTGTTGGCTCAATACTTGGATCCCTGACACCCACATGGGAACCCTGGATTGAGTTCTGGGCTCCTGGCTTTGGCCTGGCCCAACTCTGACTGTTGCAGGGTATCTGGGGAGTGAATCATCAAATGGAAGATCTATTATCTCTCTCCCCTACTCCCTCTCCCTCTCTGCCTGTCAAATTAAAATTAAAATAGATACATAAAATTTCAAAAAAAAAAAAACAACACAGTTGGGCCATGTCCCTGCTTACTGTTAAGAATATTAACAGTCATGAGATTTTCAGGGGACCTTGGCAGAGTTACTGGACTTTAGGATACTTGTGTTTTATTTTGCTGTGTAGTTGTTAGTAACCCAAAAAGCTAAATATTTTACCAGCATTCAAAGGAACTTCACTTTAAACCAAAGGAGAGAAAAACCAGAAAATTCTGTTCACTTTTGTCTGCATGGTGTTTCCTTGAGTTTTCATTTGTGTTATAAAGAGATTACAGCTGTCTATAATATCTGGACCCAGAAGATCTGGGCCAGGAAGGGCCACTCACCTTTTAGCTTGGGGATTTTTTTTTTAAATGCAGTGCCCGGGCCTCATGCCCAGATATTCTGATTTAACTCTCTCTGAGTGAGACTTGGACATCAGCAAAAAACTCCTTCAGTGATTCACCTGTGCAGCCAGGCTGTGACCCAATGCTTTTCATGACAAATCAAAACAGCTACTGTCTGTAGATTGACCTAGGACACTGGCTCTCAAGGCGTGGTCTCCAGTTCAGCAGTGTCAGCAGAACATGAGAACATGTTTGAAAATGCAAGTTCAAAGGTGCATCCCTAAAACCCATCACATCAAAGTATCTTTGGATAGGGCCCGAAATTCTCTGCTTCCACAATCCCTCCAGGTGGTTCTGCTGCACCAGACCTTCTACTCAGGATGAGCCCTGGACAAGCAGCACTGCCTGGCAGCTGCATTGCTAAAGTGTGGACTCACAGGCTTTATCCAAGACTTGTGAGTCTGAGTCTGTATGTTGACAAAACTTCCAGGTAAACCATGTGCAATGTAAAATTTAAGAAGCAGTGTTCTAGGACACAGATTGTACTTTTGGGGGACTTATTAGGAAAGGTGGAAGCAGTAGTATGCCCTCCCTGTGATTGAGAATCTTGTCTGGACTCAGGGCCTCACCTTCTGGCTTGCCCTTGTGATGCACACTATCGCTGTCTGTCTGGGGAAGACTATACCCCTTGAGAAAATGCCTAGAAGACACAGTGCTGAGGACGGATTCTGGGCAGAGAGCTATGCAACAAGGTTCACCTTTCACCCCTCAGAATGTATGTGGCAGACAAAGAGCTTTGTCTGCTTGCAGAGCTGCACCAGGGTGCAGACATGACCTTGGCAAGCCAACCTCTATCTCCGAGAGCCAAGTATCCATGGTAACAGAAAGACTGCTGGGAGCTGGCAGTCTCCAAGGACTGCTTGTGACGGGGGTTGGCTGAGTTTGGTGTCCACCTTAGCCATGAGGGCTGAGTGGGTGAAAATACCCCAGGCAAATTGTCTGCCCATCCCCACAGTTTCCTGTCCTAGAAATGAGCTTCTTTATTTTTTTTTAACTTTTATTTAATGAATATAAATTTCCAAAGTACGACTTATGGATTACAATGGCTTCCCCCCCATACCGTCCCTCCCACCCACAACCCTCCCCTTTCCCACTCCCTCTCCCCTTCCATTCACATCAAGATGAAATGAGCTTCTTTAAATGTGGCTTGATTGGCCCCTCCACCCTCCTTGCTGATGCTAGCTGTTCCTCTCCACTGCCACAGCTACTTTTCAATCTGGATTGCCCCATGAGGCTTCAAAGGGGATGAATCCAGGGATTTCAGGACACTCACTCCCTGTCAATGTCTGCCTGCTCCTGCAAAGAAGACGTCTATCTCACCTCTGGGCTTGCAGTGGGGTGCGGGTGGGGATTAGAGTAACAACAGAGCATGGCGGAGGTGAAGTTAGAACGGGGGTGAAACACAGCTGAGCCCAACTCCCCAACCATGACCTAGAAATGAGGACTTCAGAGACATAGAACTGAGGCAATAAATGGCTCAGGCATTTACAGTGTTTGTCTAATGAACTACATTTGGATTAAAGGTAACATAAACTGTTGTCCTAGAAAAAGGACAGTTAACAAAATAAGACTTTGTTTTTAGACCACCATGGTAAATTAATTAATGATTTATATTTTGATTTGTAAATTTACAGTAAATGCAACTTGGGATGTTGCAAACATTTCTTTTCTAAGATTTATTTACTTATAAGTCATAATTACAGATAAAGAGAGAGAGAATTTTGATTGATCTTCCATCTGCTGGTCTACTCCCCAAATGGCTACAACAGCTATGGCTAGGCAAGGTTGAAACTGGGACCCAGGAGCCTCCTCCAGGTCTCCCATGTGGGTGTAGGGGCCCAAGCACTGGGGCTATCATTTGCTGCTTTCCCAGGTGCATTATCAGGAAGCTGGATCAGAAGTGGAGCAGCTGGGACTCGAACCAGAGCCCAAGTGGCATGCTGGCACCGCAGACAGTGGCTTAACCCACTGCACCACATTGCTGGCCCCAGTGAACACTTAGTTTCAAATGTGAGGTTTGTAACATTGAGCCAGGCTCTACTGAATCCTTCTGATGTACCAACAGTTCCAACCAAAGCAAAAGCACTAGATTAAGTCAATATCAATAGAGATGAAGGCAAATAGAAACAACTTCTTAATTTATTCAAGTTTTTACCTCGCTGTAGCTTTATCTGTTTCAGCCTCAGGTTGGGAGGTGGTAGGTTTTGCTGGGAAGAACTAAGTTTGGGAGAATGTGCTAGATGAATTCAAGAGCCTCTTGCACTCCCCGTGAGCAGCCTGGAAGTCCCTTTCCTTTCTCGTTAGACCTCAGTCTCCTCTGTCCAGTGCAGCAGGTGGGCCTTCCAGCTTTCACCTGTATGACTCAGCCAAACCCCCCCCCCATTATGCCACAGGTTTTCCTTCTCTCTGATGAGATTGACCACATGTTTGTATCCTCCTTAGGAATAAGACAAATGCTGCATGTCCTGTAGATATATTGCCTTTGTGGTTTAATCAAAGCATCAAGTTCTCTCTTTTTGTAAGATTTTTAAATCTTACAAAATCTTTGGACTCTATGGCAATGATGCTTAAAATTTACTGTGCCTGAGAAGAATCCAGCTCCAGCATTTGCAAATACTGCAAATAAATTGTTAAATAATGTTTTGTGAGGATCACTCTTCTCCCTGAGCAGAGATTAAGAGCACAGGCATGAGAGGAAATCCTGAGTTGAAATCTCAGCCACAGCTTTCATTAGTGGGATGTCTTTGGGCATGGTACTCAGTCCCAGGAAGCCTTCCCTTCCCCTGAAAACTGGTGATCACCAGAGTACCTGCCACCTGGAGTCTCTGTGAGGGGCCTGTGGGATAATACAAGAGCATGCATAGGGTTCAGGAAGGCCCAACTACTGTCCTTACACACGCTGGGGCCTCTGAGTTATTGACATTCCTGTAGCTTTTCCAGTGGCTCCAGAGTAGGACCCTTTTTTCTCTTGACCTTCCCAGCATCCAGCAGAGTGGTTACATCTTGCACACAGCAAACTCTCAATAACAACATTTGCTGAATTAATCACAGGTGAACCTCAGTGTAGGTGGAAGGGTGAAACAGATGTAGGTAAAAATAATGGACCACAAGTATCTTATTTGTGTTGTAAAAGGAGAGGCCTATATTTTTTCAAAATGGATGCTACTCTGAGGGTAATAGGAATGTGGATGTGGTGGGGGCTGAGTGCAGGAGAAGAGAACTTTGATGTGAAACAGTGGTTCTCAGCCTGGCTGTGGATTTAGAATCACCTAGTGGACTTCTTTTAAAAAGTAGTGTCTGGGCCCCACCCCTCAGGGAGTCTTAACAAGTGGTCTAGGGCAGGCCCAGATATTTTTAAACTCCCAGGTGATTCTGTGGTACAGCCAGGGTTGAGAACACTGCTCTAAAAACCTGATTAAAGGACTTCGTAATCTCTGACTTGGGTGTTGTATACAGAAGAAGTGACACAGAAAGAGTAGGGAGAGGAGGAGAAAAGAGAAAAGATGTTCTTTATGAGACAGACACAGAAATTTCAACACACTGACAACTAAAAGCCATGCTTACAGGATGGACCATGTGGCCAGGAATATAAATTCTGACCCATGAACTATAGCCATGTCTCTCCTGGAAATTATCTCAAATGTCCCAGTCATGGGGTCTGCCCAGGACGTGGTGGGTTTTTTTTTTCTCCCCAGAAACCCTTTAGTTAAGGAATACAGACTTCATACATTTCACAATTACAACTTCAGGAGCATGGTGATTCTTTTTTAAAGTTCTCCAATTGACTCTAACATGAGCCAGGGTTGAGAGTACTGGTCTAATAGCATTCAAACCACCATAGTTTTTTTTAATATTTATTTATTTGAAAGTCAGAATTACAGAAAGAGAGAGATCTTCCATCTGTTGGGTCATTCCCCAAATGGCTGCAATGGCCAAGGCTGGCCAGTATGTTTGGGAGGTGTAAGAGAGAGGGTTAATATTTATTAGGTCCATCTAGAGTAAGTCTTCTTGCGTTGTTGAAGAGTGGCAGGAGCAGTGGGCATCATCTTCATCATTTTACTCCTTGTGTTCATCTCACATAAAATAATACCACGTGATAGATGAACATACAGGGGCTGGGTCTCAGGGAAGCAGAGAACCTGTCCTGGAAGAAGTTCTAACCCGGTGGCAGGCCTCTTTAATGAGTTACCACGCTTAGAGAGCCTATTTGCATGCAGGTGGCAGGGGTGAGCCAAGAGCTTCACAGAGAAAGATACTTTGCCCAGGCCTGGCATACTAAACACTGGACACACACACAGAATGGAAACGAGCTGGAATAAATCTGCATTGTGACTGCAAGTGAGGAAGAGCTTCTACTTCTGTTGATAGACCTTAAACTTCATTTCCAGAAAGTAAACATGGGGGTCAGGAGTCATCCCACCTTTCCTAGCACTGCAGTGGTAGAATTTTTTCTTTCTTGTTTTTTATTTCAGTAAAGGAGAAGGTCTACCTCATCCTTTTGGTGACTGAAAATAGTAACTTGAGGGAGTTGGCTGGCAAAAGCACAATCAGTTCTTTTCTGTCTCCAGGAGATATTTCAGGATCTGGGACTTGGAATTATGAAATGACAGAAAAAATAAACATGAAAAGCTTCTGAAATTATTATCATGTAGCACCAGAAAAAAAAAACTTCTTCCCACTCTCCCATATTGTCCTTATATAAAACACTATTTTTGCCTCCAGAAATGAATCTCCCTTGGTGTGTACAGACTTTCCTTACACTCCTCCAACTGTGCTGCAGGTGTATTTGTGGCAGCAGTGATGAATTTCTGATTGTGTGAGTCAGCAGGATGGGGAAATCTCCAAAAGGAGGCTTATTTTTTAGGTGCCTATATATTCAGATTGGTGGGTTGCTCTGCGTTTGATCCCCATGGAAGTACACTTCCCTCTGGTGACTTCACTGCTGGTCTTTTGAGCCTGAACTCTCATACTCTTTGGCTCTCTATTCTTCAGCTTCTCAGACCAGGTGTCAGCATCAGGACCACAGCTACAATGGGTCGTAGATTATAGGATGAGGAACCAGGAAAAGGATTTGGACTGAACAAAGAGGATACAGAGCCAGATGGAGTCAGGGATCAGAATAAGCAAGTAATCCAAAGTTAGAATTTTCCCAAGGCTTAGAATCTGAGCAAACAAGTAGACTATCAGAATTGTTTTAGGTAAGAGTTAGGAACCCAGAAAATCATGTGACTATAATAATCTATATTTATTGTTTGCATGTGTCATGTGTGTGTGTGTGTGTAAGAGAGAGAGATGCTTCACATGCATTATCTCATTGAATCCTACCAACAAATTTAGGAGGTAGGTAACTTATGAAGTAGGTAGATATGTAAAATCCTATTTACATACAAGGAAAATGAAGCTTTTGAGAGAATAGGTAACTTGTGCAAGATCAAGATTCTAACCCAGGACTGATTCCAAAGCTAGTATACTTTTCATGTAGTCTTCAAGAACCAAGTAAGACATCAAATTCAAGTCACAAGCAGACAAAAGAACTTCGATAACTAGGGAGTCCCTTTGCTCCATCTCAGAGATGATTACACTTCCAAAGGCAGAAATCCACTGGAGGAGTTTCTGCCTGGGGCCTGCTGGTGGTAGGGTATGAGTAGGAGCCATGTGTGATGGGGAGGAAAGTTTGTGCACACCTGTGCTCATGTACTGGGAGAGGTATATAGAAAAGCAAGACAGGAGGTTGGCATGGAATGGAGCCACAGCTCCCGACAGGCAGATAGTGACTCAAAACAAGTCAGGCAGTTGGCAGTTTATTAATGTTGGGTGGTTTTTCCATAAATATTGATAACACTTGTCAGTGACTGACTGGGGTTGCTAATTGCTTTAAATCAATAGAAAAAAATGAGCATACTTTCCTCGTGTGTTCACAACTTCAGTGTAACGGCTTTTCCAAATGGATAACATTCAGTCTCCCTGTGGCACTGTGGCCGTAGTTTATTATGTGTGTTTGAGAGCTAGCAGGTATTTCTAAGAGCTGCTTTATTAGTAGTTGGCTAATAAAATCATCACTACCCAGCTGCTCTCATCAGAGTGGACTTACCATCTAGTGGTAAATTATTTCTGACATGGTAACAGAGAATGTGCCTTTGGCAGCAGTTTCTGAAGCAAGGTCTCTTGGAGTTGGCGTTGCAGTTTCCAGTGTGATCCAGAGGCTTGCTCATGAATCATCCAGGTGTAAGCACATCCCCCAGCAAGGCCTGCTGGCCACTGTCTTGTCTAAGGATGGACTTCCAGAGAAACAATCTCTAACTCCCGTTGATAATGAGGAGCTGACCATCTGTTGCAAAGCAGTTCCCAGGCAAACGGTCATCCATTTCTCCTACAGAGATGGCATGGTTTGAGTATCGTAAACAAGGGCTATGAAGATTGTCTAGTTTCATGGAGGGACAGGTAGAGTTTGGAAGGGGATTGACAACAGCTATTTCCAAACTCCAATTTTCCTATGCTTATTGAAGGAAATGTAGTATTCACAGTACTATCTGGTTTTTAATTGTTTACTTTTTTGAAAATCAGGAATTGAGTTAATCTGTGAAAAAGACATTGATCTGGCAGCCCAGGTGCAAGAACTACTGGAGTTTCTCCATGAGAAGCAACATGAATTGGAGCTCAACGCCGAGCAGACCCATAAGCGGCTAGAACAGTGCCTCCAACTACGGCACCTCCAGGCCGAGGTCAAACAGGTGAGCCTGGCCCTTCGGTGCAGCCTGTGCTTACTGGCTAGTTGAGCCTGGCCTGAGGCCTGCACTTGGTAGGGAAGTAAAGCATACAGAGCCACTGGTGTATCCCTTAAGTATCTGGAAGTTAGGAAATCGGTAAGTTAAGACCACCTGTATTAACTTCTGAAAGTCTGACTGCTGGTAACAAATAGACCCAACAGTGCAAAGGTTCAAAGTATAAATGCACTCTCTCACACAGCCATCTAGGAGATACTAGGTTTCTCAAGTTGTCCTCAGTCAGTGAATCTATTCTCTTCCTTTCTGTCACATAGACCATGTGAAATACAAATTTATCAACAAGGATATTCAGGCTTTAAAGCAAGGCTGATCCATTAGGGTGCAGATATGCTGTTACGGTATCTGACACATAGTCGTGGACAGTGAGCGGCAGCAATCACCATCGTTATTTCTAGTGTGTGTATGATTCTTAGAAGAACATTACCATTCTCAAATCAATGTCAAAAAGAAAAAATTCTTATCTGCGGGAGGCATTATATTGGGCGTTTTACCCAAAAGCACACCCAGATCTCCAGGAACCTCTAGGAACACACAATGACTGCTGACACAGTATAAAATATTACATTCTTATATTATGAAGAAATTAATTTGGTAATTATTGTAGCCATAATGAATAGAGATCTCTTGTTTGGACAAAGTCAGGTTGAAGTAGAAGTATTAATAATAGTTCCACTTCCATGTGCCATTTGTATATCAATCAGTCCTCACAATCACCTTCTGAAGCAGATATTATTCCTATTTTACAGATGAGGGCACTGAAGCTTAGTGAGGCCACCAGACAATGGTCACATTGGTGGAAAATCACCGCCACCCTCCACTGGGCCTGTAGGGCTCCCCAGCAGGGCAGGCGCCCTGTCATTTCCATAGGTGCTCCTTTCAGCTCCACGTTCTCCAAAACAATCCCTATCCCCCTGCTTCTCCTAGGCAGAGCGCTGCCCAAATTATGCTAATGTGAGAAACATGTTCCTCTTTTATTTTTTTTTCTTGTCAACTCTCCTTTTACTTTTTTTTTTAAACTTTTATTTAATGAATATAAATTTCCAAAGTACAGCTTATGGATTACAATGGCTTCCCCCCCATAACGGCCCTCCCACCCGCAACCCTCCTCTTTCGAACTCCCTCTCCCCTTCCATTCACATCAAGATTCATTTTCGTTTCTCTTTACATACAGAAGATCAGTTTAGCATATATTAAGTAAAGAGTTCAACAGTTTGCTCCCACACAGAAACATAAAGTGAACAATACTGTTTGAGTACTCGTTATAGCATTAAATCACAATGTACAGCACACTAAGGACAGAGATCCTACATGAGGAGTAAGTGCACAGTGACTCCTGTTGTTGACTTAACAAATTGACACTCTTGTTTATGGCATCAGTAATCACCCTAGGCTCTTGTCATGAGCTGCCAAAGCTATGGAAGCCCCCTGAGTTCACTGACTCTGATCATATTTAGACAAAGCCATGGTCAAAGTGGAAGTTCTCTCCTCCCTTCAGAGAAAGGTACCTCCTTCTTTGATGGCCCATTCTTTCCACTGGGATCTCACTCACGGAGATCTTTCATTTAGGTCCCCCCCCCCCGCCCCAGAGTGTCTTGGCTTTCCATGCCTGAAATACTCTCATGGGCTTTTCAGCTGGATCTGCATGCCTTAAGGGCTGATTCTGAGGCCAGAGTGCTGTTTAGGACATCTGCCATTCTATGGGTCTGCTGTGTATCTCACTTCCCATGTTGGATCATTCTCTCCCTTTTTTATTCTATCAGCTAGTATTTGCAGACACTAGTCTTGTTTATGTGATCCCTTTGGTTCTTAGTCCTATCATTATGATCAATTGTGAACAGAAATTGATCACTGGGACTAGTGAGATGGCATTGGTACATGCCGCCTTGATGGGATTGAATTGGAATCCCCTGGTGTGTTTCTAACTCTACCGTTTGAGGTAAGTCAGCTTGAGCATGTCCCGAATTGCACATCTCTTCCCTCTCTTATTCCCACTCTTATATTTAACAGTGATCACTTTTCAATTAAGTTTCAGCACTTAAGACGAATTGTGTATTGATTACAGTATTCAACCAAAAGTATTAAGTAGAACAAACAAACAAAAAAATACTAAGAGGGATAACATATATAGCTGCTCATCAATAGTCAGAGTAAGGGCTGATCAAGTCACCATTTCTCATAGTGTTCATTTCACTTTAACAGGTTTCCTTTTTGGTGCTCAGTCAGTTGTCACCTATCAAGGAGAACAAGTGGTATTTGTCCCTTTGGGATTGGCTTATTTCACTCAGCATAATGTTTTCCAAATTCCTAACAGGGATCACTTTTCAGTTAAAATTTAAACACCTAAGAATAATTGTGTTCCTCTTTTAAACACTTTTTTCTTGTGTATAAGTGGCTGCTGGAGCTTTTTAGATTTAAGTCTATATAACACAAGGGACAAAAGCATCATATTTTTTTAACTATTGCTAGGAGCCTTATTTTCAGGGTATTCTCTGCTAATGCCTGGGTCATAGTTATTATATCGTTATTTGTTAGAACGGGCAAAATTATCTTCTCTATTTCCCTTTTCTTTCAATTGGTGTTCATCCAGCACCCATATTCAGCTGCTATGCAGATGAAGTCCCTGAACCCCATGCAAAGTCAGATCACAATGCTGTCATCAGGTTGTTTTCTGCTTAATTACACTGGGATCACACTTGAATCTCTAGACACATTGTGGACAAGGATGTGGTAGAAATCCTAGCAGGCTGAGAGCAGTAATGAATACACAAATTTTGTGACTTTCAATAGTAATTGTAATATTTTCTTTTCATATGAGAAGTAGTTTTTCATTTATGTTTTCATTTTAAGAGAACAAGCCCATGGGGAAAGTGGTGTTATGCTTACTTTACAAATGAGGAAATGGAAGTACATCAGATGAGTGCTCCCAGGGCTTCCTGGTAAGTTAACTCAGACTTGAGCCCAGGCATCGCAAGGACAGGTTCCTGCAGTTTACCTCTATGGGCCTCACTCCCACCCAGGGTTTCAGGAAGAATAGAAAGGAGCCCTTTGGCAGAACACAGTCTGAGGTGTCCTGGCCTCACCAGCAGCATGTCTAAGAAGACAGAGGCCTCGGCTTGACAGAGAAGGTGGCACCTGCCTGAGGTCAACAGGGCTTCTACAGGTCTGCAGATTCTTCCTGTGCTTTTATACCTGGTTATTTCCATCATTTGAACGTGGTAGAAATGACCATCTCAACAAAACAGATAACAGGAAAATAATTCCTATTTGATTTTTTTTTTTTTTTGACAGGCAGAGTGGATAGTGAGAGAAAGAGGCAGAGAGAAAGGTCTTCCTTTTGCCGTTGGTTCACCCTCCAATGGCCGCCATGGCTGGCGCGCTGTGGCTGGTGCACCGTGCTGATCTGAAGGCAGGAGCCAGATGCTTCTTCTGGTCTCCCATGGGGTACAGGGCCCAAGCCATCCTCCACTGCCTTCCCGGGCCACAGCAGAGAGCTGGCCTGGAAGAGGGGCAACCGGGAAAGAATCTGGCGCCCCGACTGGGACTAGAACCCAGTGTGCCGGCGCCGCTAGGTGGAGGATTAGCCTATTGAGCCGTGGCGCCGGCCCCTATTTGATTTTTAAAATGAAACTTATAGTTTTGCTTCTGTTCCTAGTTTCTATTTTTTGTCCTAGTATCATTGGTAAGTTCTACAATTGTGTTTTTTTAGAATAGTAAAATGGAAATGAATTTTCATTCTCCAAGTATACATTCTGTAAAGGATGTTAGATGGACTAATATCTATATACATTCCCATTCATTCTTGTATCAGTTACATGAAAGAAAAAGCTCTTCTGCAGAGTTAGGAAAATCCCTTCTCCCCACCATGGTGAAAATGATTCATTGTGGGATTGTAGCTTGAGATTGCTGAAGTCAGACTGAGGAAACCTACCAAGGCCTTTGCAGAGGACAGCAGCCCTTTGAGGCGCTAAGGGACAGCTGCTTGGTTAAGCCACCATGCCTCATTAGACAGACTTGTTTTCCTTGTCAATGTGGGCTCTTTCTTTAGGGAATCATCTGATCCAGTTTCAGAGAAGGCGTTTGTGTTTGATAGAAATTGGTGGAGCAGGAAATATTGATTTGGAAGCTGTTGACACTTGGAAAGGGGGAGTTAATTTAGATGTCAGTATTGATTAGTGAGGCTAAATTTAGATACTAGCTTAAGAGTTTCTCTGTTGAATATACTCTCAAAAAAGAAAAAGGACACCTTAATTGAAATGTCATTAATGGGGACAGAAAGGGAGAGAACAATAGTGTGTTATGATACAGCTCTGTTGTTAGAGCTCATCGATTAAAGATTTAGATTTGATCATTTGGCCATCATAACCTGAAGATTAGTTACATCAAAAGTATATTAAACTGAAGCTTTGATGAGTGAAGAAGGCAAAGCTGTTAGACTGAAATTATTTTCAAGTATACAGAACAAATGAAATAGATCAATGCCACTGATTTTCTTTCTGAGGGTTTACAGAGGGCTTGATGTCTAAGATAGATAACCCAAACATCTCGGGAGAGGTGTGAACCCTTCCCCTTATTGCAGCCTACAGCCTAGGCTCCTTGGGCCCCCAGATGTCCCTCACAGGACTCTCCCAACCCCACAGTAGGCTCTGTTTGCTTCCAGGAAGATGACTACTCTGGTGAAGATGAGCTTACATTTATTAGATAATTCAGAAAGATTTTAAAAGCTACATAATGTGCAGGAAAATAAATGAATTTCCATATGTATTCCTGCAAAGCAGTGTATTTAGCAGAAAATAAGCTGGTGTGGATGTTGGGTCCCTAACCTATGGAGAAAAAAATCACCCGTATTTGACTACTAAAGACAGAGTGGCTTAATTTGCTTCCTTGAACGAAATGCTGGCCAAAATTTGCATATGATCAAGATAGACATTCAAAATAAAAGAAAAAATTTTAACCTGTCTTTATACTCCCAAAGAGAATACTGTGTTCAGTTTGGTGCTTTTGAGTGTATATAAAAGTTAGAACAGAGGTGGAATAGAGCCAAGGAGGGGCAACCAAAGGAACAAGTGCATCCTTTTGTTTCAGAATGGAGATAATTAAGAGGAAACATGGTCAGTCTGTAAAACCATGAAGGATGAGCATGTGCATTCTTACAGATCCTGAGTTTTTAAAACTGCAAAACATCACAAACACGACAGGCTCACTGCTGCCATCTGAGGAACTGGTGTTTTTTTCCTGAAGCTAGTTTCAGAAATAACTATCCCTTATAAGTCATTTTCAGTAGCAGTCCTTCAAATCATTTGCCCTAAGTGCAGTGCACCTCATAGCTGTATTGTAGGTTTGACCTCAAGAACACAGCCATCTATAAGCAGCTTCCCCAGCCTGGGTAGTTACAAGGTCCAGCTTGTTCACGGAGGTGGAATCATCATTTGTAGATATCTACACCTGGTTGCCCAAATCCACCCCTCTCCTGACTTGGACTTATCTGAGTTTCCTTGGCCTGAGGAAACAGTAGATCTGTATTCTCAGTTTCCCTCTAAGTTCAGAATTCTTGCTCTAGTCCTGCACACCAGTACTCTTCCCATCCTTCATTGCTAATTAACTAATTTTCTTTGGTATCCTATGGATGTAGAGGCACTCTTCGAGATTTTAAAGCAGTGTGGAATGTTCTTTAAAGATCATCTGGAAATGATCTTTAAAGATCATCTCACCTGTTAGGTAAATTGTGGCCTATGATGATTGATCAATTTAAAATATTTACTTTATGGCTTGAAAAATGCTATTTTATATCAGTTATTTCTCCACTCTGTGCCTTAGGCAAGGAAAGTATTCACTATTTACAGATGGGAAACTGAGTACTGGAGAAATTAGATGGTGTTTCCAAGATCACACACGCTCAAGATAGTAGAACCAATATTTTCTCATTCTAGTTACAGTATTCCTCACATATATTTGTATACTCACAGAACTAACCAGTTTTAATCACAGCATTATCCAGCTTTGCTCCAAACTAACAATTGCCACCAACACTACAACCACCTTCTCCATTAGAATTTATATTTTTCATATGTGACTTCAACCCTGTAATGCAGAAAGAGAAGGTACAACTATTCTTATTTTAAACAGGAGAAAACTGAGGCTCAGAGGGGTTAAGTGATGGTTCCAGGTAAGTAACAGAGCCAGGTATTCTGACTTCAAATATTATGCTTTTTCTGTACAAATTCAGCTCTATGTCTAGGATAGTCTGATTCATGGGGATCAATCTTACCCTTGACCAAAGCCACGGATATAAACACATGCATTTTTATCTTACAGAAATTACATCTCCACTTTAAATTCCTGGTCTGCTGTCATAACCAGCATTTGGGACATTAAAATGAGCAAGGGTATGGCATCATTTAATAAAAGAAGGACTGAATCCCATGATATTCATATTTCTAAGTGGAAAGCTGGTAAATGGGTACCCCTAGCACCAGGCTATTTTCCTGTCGGCTGAAACTAGAGAAAAAAGTATTCTTGCAAGATCCAGAAGGCCCAGAGGGAATCAAATTACCCTGCAAGCATTGATTTGTGATGCACGTGGAGAACATATAATTCTGACACCTTCAAATGAATCTCCTAACCAAGCAAAATGCAGTGAATCACAGCAAGGGGACATAGTTCAAAATTTACATTGTCGGCTGCATTTTCCCAAAGAGATGACACATTTGGGCATGGAATCTGTGACTTGCAGGGATCCAAACTCACAGGCAGCTTCTCAAAATTATTAGCCCCTCTAGCCAGCCAGCTGCAGTCCTTCAGTGACTACAAACATTTCACACGTACACTCAAAGCAGTCATTTCCTGCAACTAATTGCTTTGCAGACTGGCATCTCATCCACAATCTGCCAGCCTGGCCATGAATTAACATGAGTCCAAATAGCCCAACTTCATTGGAATTTATGCCCCTATATTATCCATGCACAATAAGGCATCGGTCATTTTATGCCCAGGGATGACAATTGAGAGATGCCTAAGAGAGTTATGGGGCACGGGACAGGAGTTGGAGTTTTCTAGTTGTTCAACATGAGGAAGTTAAGTGGAAAAAATCTGAAAGCAAATCTCAAACAGATTGTCGTGTCTTCTTCTTTGATTTGAGGTGATGGATGGTATTTACTGATCTTGAAATTTCAGAAGAATTTTTATGTTCTCACCAAGCAAATTCTCAGACTCCCTAATAAAGAGAACATCTGGGAATGTTCTGTTGACCAGACAGCAGGTAGATTTTCAGAGCCTAACTCTTCCAGTTGTATTATTTACACTGAGTATGTTAGCTGGATAATTGCCACATCTCCATTTCACCTAGGACTTAGTGCCAGCTGTTTCTTCTTCCATCCTAATATTTCCCAGCTGAGTTTTCTTTCCCTCACTACTCACTAAGTTCACCTAGAAAATGATTGCAGCCTAACCACAGCCTCTAAGTAATTTAAGCCAATTATAATTTACTCTCCCTTGTTCTGATGATCTAGTATATAAATTATTGATGTTTTTTGGCCTGTTTTCTTTCCCCATCCTGCTTTCTTTGGATAGTTTATCTGTGAAAGCTCATATTTGTCTGTTGTTGGACCTACTACTCAGGTGTGACTTGGGTGTTCACCACTACTTTCAAAATATTACTACATCACCCCCATTATATGCACGGTACTGGGCTAGGCACTATGTTAGATTAAAATATGGCTAATATATTGCCCCAGATGTCAAAAAGTTTACACTTCAAAGAGGAGATGGAGTATAAAGTTGAGATAACAGAACAAGGCAGTCTGTGCTGAATGCTGTTAAGGTGGTACATAAGAAATAGTATGGTTGTACTAGATAAGGAAGAGGGTTTTTCTAATGGGAGGTATGGAAGAGTACAAGACGTTGTTATGCTTTAAATTGGGCCTTTTAAAAAGAAAAGACTCCCAACAGATGGAATTTATTTATTTGTGTTCCATAAGGAACTCAGAAATACACATGCAGTACAACCAGATTAAGTAATGTTTAAGTGAGTAAGGACATTGGGACAGAAGGATGATGAAGGGAGGAAATAATAAGTGGATCTGGAAGAGAAGCAGGTACATGAAATAAGTATTTTTATGGCACAGGTGCTAGATAAGACTGGGGAGATGACCATTTCCATTGTTTTAGTCTTCCTGTCCTCTCTGCTATGGTGAAAAAAGTGAACTTCCTGACTCATCTACCCATCAGAGAAAGCAGCAGCTCTGGGGAGGCTATGGGAGGTCATTCACCTGTGTGCTTGTCCTCACTCCCTAGGTCCTGGGATGGATCCGCAACGGAGAGTCCATGCTCAACGCCAGCCTGGTCAATGCCAGCTCTTTGTCTGAAGCAGAGCAGCTGCAGCGAGAGCACGAGCAGTTCCAGCTGGCCATTGAGGTAACACCCACATCTGGCTGCACTGCCCTCGCTTCCCTTTTCTGCTGTGTGCCTCAAGCAGGGGGGCTCCCTAAGGTGTGGCTGTTCTTTCAGGTGGGGAAGCCTTGACTCTGAACTGGTTCAGGGAGCCTTCTTATTACCCAGGGGTTGAGGGGGAGCAGATGCAGAGGCCCATGCTGCTGAGGAGGCCTCGTTTTAGAAGACAGGCGTTCATCTTCACATGAGAATCTTTGTTGCTCATTGGTACCTTCAACTTTTAAGGCCCATGGTACACTGAGAATTTTACACGTTATAGACTCTGTACCATGTGGAAATAAAAGTAAAAGGTTAGAGACAACTTTCAGTGGATCACTCAGAATTGAGGGTAAACAAGTGCAAAAGTGATTAGTAAATTAAGATCCGGTTTCTAAACCTTTGGTTTACAAGTAGCACCAAATACTATTGTCAGCGTGCCTGTGAGGAAGGACAGTAATTATTGGAGCTGTTGCCTCAGCCTGCCTTCCCAGCAAGAGAAGCATTCTGTCAAGAATGCTGACAGAAGTCATATTTAAAGAATAAACTGCAATCAGAAGAAGTTCACCAATGCGGACTTTTTAAAAGCCTATTTTAAAATAAAGCTCCATTTATAATCTAATATAAATTTTGTCTTACTTTAAATAATACCCTTAATTATCCTTTCCACTAGGACATTCTCCTTCCCAAAGAGACTTAAGCTGATTGTTTTACAATGATATGGCAGGGAAAGAGTAGAAAATGGGACAGGGGAACTATATTAAAATAAGTTCAGTACCATTGGGAAACAAGATAAAGAGCAGAAACTTTAAAGACACTGGTTACTCATGTCCAGAGTAAAATTTAGCCTAATTTAACAATTATGAAGCTGTTATCTTCTCAGATTTTTACACAAGGATGGCAAAAATAAAATTTTAATCATCTGATCCCACAAGTCCTTAAATACAATAACTCAACTTAAATACAATAAATACAAACTGCTAGCCATTTTTAAACTAGCATTGATAAAATTCAGTCATTTAATTTTCCAGAAACCAACTAGGATGTGTAAACATACCATTAAGATGAAGGAAATGTTTCTATAAGATGCTTGATATGTTTTAGGAACCATTACTAGTACTAGAAGTTCTGTCTGGGAGTTGAGATTTAAAAATAACCTATATATTGTGAACCTATATATTGCTCATTGTGAAGACACAATGAGCAAAACATTTTCTAGAGAGTAATTAACCAGAGGAGAGAAGTTTTATTATCATTAGCTGTCTCTGTTTTATCTATTGGCATGCAATAGTATTAGGTCTCTTCGCTGTGAGGTCAAACCAGGTTCTGTTCAAGAATCAGACACCCAGTGGTCAGTTTCCCATGGGCATAGGCAGCAACAAAAGTTGGGTAATCAGATTAGAAGCATGGCACGAAGCTGTGAGGGATGCTAAGCAGAAAAGACAGCCCTTTGCTGTACTCCTTATTCATCTTGAATAAAAAGGCTTACATGCCCTGTGTCAGGGAATTAAATTGCCAGTCCTCTAATGAATGTTGGGCAAGTAAGACTGAGTGTCATGACACAAAACTGAGATCTCAATGAACTGGTGGAAGAGTGGGTAAATCATTCCCCTGGTATTGAAGCAGCTACATTCCACATGACTGTATATGCAGTATTAATTCATATCAGATGCTGCTGCAGCCCTACAGAATAGAGGCTTCCTCAGCATAACTGTCTACTGGTAGTCCTGAGTGTCTGAGCACAACGTGGTCAAACATTCCTGCATGTGGTATTCCGAGATAAACAACTCTAGGATCTGTGTCTGTGGTCTCAAGAGGGCATGCCAGAGTAGACAGGGGTTCTAGAAGGTCTTAGAAATGGAGGCAGACAGGGTCTGTGGCATGGACAGCTTGATGAAGAATTTCAGCATATTCTCTTTCTCTGGTTGGCTGTGTTTCTCTCTAACTGTGTTTGTAGACCAGGTTCTACCTCAAGGGAGAAATATGCCAGGCAGGATTTAAGCCATTAGAAAGGAGATGTAAGTCATCTGGTCTGACTTACCCTATTTAGAAGTTGTTACTTTACAATGGTTGCTGACTGGGGGCATAGTTTGGCTCCTCCATCCTAAGAAATATCATAGGTATAGGTAGGTGGTCATATAATTTATTGTCTAGACTGAGATGCTCTTAACAGTGAAGGAGGGAATAATTAATAACTAAGTCAGAAAAAATAAACATTTTATCATGGTAAAGCTCTACCGGCCGGCCCTGGGTTGAGTGGCCTCATTGGGTTAAAGGTTTTGTCTTCCTAGGGAAGCTTAGAAGTTTCACCTTAAAGTAACCTTTGCTTTAGGAAAACTTCCCAGGAGCCATTCAGAATGGAGAGCAGTACATGGCACCTAGAAGGAGCATAGCTTATCAAGTGAACTTTATTATTGTTTTCTAGTGCCCAAGATGCCACTACTAAATCTTTAGGAAATGTGAACTTTATAAAGATAAGCTCAATTTTAAAATCCATTAGTTATTTTAAATCCTCTTATGCATTTTAAACACAAGTATTATACCAGAAGAAGTAGTTAAAACTGGATAATAAATTCAATTGATTTTGTTCAATTTTCTTCTGTGTACTCCTACTAAATATGAATGTCCTTGATAATCTGTGTCTTAAATATATAAAACTCAATAGGATTAGATAATGGAGAATAGAAATAAATGCAAAGTAATGATTTAAGCTTAGCAAAGCAAAGATTATGTCCAATGGTTAAGAGTTTATCACTTAGGAAATTAAAGAAGAATGGGGTTCCCGGGACTTAATGATGATAACTAAATGCTGCTTTTCTATATTAAAGGAGGCCATACAATTATCATAATCCCTAATGTTGATTTGGTGAATGCTTTTTCTGAGTGAGATACTATATACTGTTCTGATTGCTAGTGATAAATTGATGTGGTGTGATATAGTGGAAAGAATGTAGATTTGGGGATAGGTCAAAACAGTCCTGTTCCTGATCTCATCACTCTTTAGATTGTGTGTTTTGGAACAGCTCACTTAACCAACTGAGCCCTGGTTGCTTAATCTGTAGAATGGGAATAGTATATTTATCTTGTAATAGTTTTGGGAGAACTAGAAAATATATGCATATGCACAGTGTTGAGCACAAAATGTAACACGGGATGAATGACTGCTGTTCAAATGATTTTTTCAAGCTATCTTTGCCTTGAGAGTTTCACAGTCTGGGAAGACTCAGCCAAATATTAAATGACTAGCTTGGGAGTTCAGAGGAAGGTGGTCTTCAGTGAGACTCAGGCTGTTCAAAGAGGCTTCTCAAAGGAGAGGAGACTTGAGCTGAGTCTCAAAGGCAAGCTGGAACGCCCATGGGAAGAGGAGGAGGCTTAATCAGAGTCAGGAAAGATAAAGGCAGCAAAGGCATGAATGTGTATGACGTGTTTTCCAAGGGGTTTTAGGAGGAAGTAGTAGGTGATGATGTCATGGAATTGGTCTGAAACCACAGTGTGAAGGGTTTCTGATGACAACCTACAAAGTCTGGATGTAGCGTCATAGCAGTAGAGGAACCACTGGAGGCTTTTGAACTGAGAAAAGGGTGGGATATTTAGAGCATAAAATGAAAGTTTTCAAAAATATGTTAGAAGTCGCTTAATGCAAGCACTTTCTAATCCTTTCCTGTTCACTGTCAGCTGAGCTACACTTTCCTAAAAGTACACAGACCAAATTATTACTACACCATTAGGCTGGGACAGCCCCACAAGTTAGGGTTGGAATATCAGCTCTTGCAAGTCAGTGGTCTCTAATGTTCTAATTTGGGTCATCTGTATCAATACTTTGTCTAAGGGAACTTGAATCCCGTTTGATTCTCTCTGTGCTATGCAGTCCTACAGCCTGGTCTCCTGACCTCCTGCAATGAATGTGAGCTCAGAGAATGCAAAGCACATACAGCCTGGATCAGACAGCATTAAGAAAACAAGCTTTCTACAAATGCAAAGATGTATGCTTATCGTCTAAAAGCAAACATAAATTTTGTGGGGATTGTGTGTTGAGCTGAATTACCTAGCATACTGCTCCACTCCCTTGGTGAAGGTGCTACAGGATGATGTGAGAGGTTACATTTTAGTTTTTCTAACTTGCTAAATGTATTCCTTCTACTGGAACCCTTTTCGAATGCTTATTAACCTGTAAAATGATTGCATTGTTATTTTAGATTTGTATTATGTGAAGTTTTAAAATTATGCTTGAGGACTTTATCTGTAAAATGGGACTGCATCAACAACCTCCTTTGAGAATTTACTGATTAACAATTTAATGAATAGATTTGAAAAGGCAAATTTATGAACCAATCAGGGAGCCGATTTATACACAACTTTTGTTTCTCAACCAGAGAAACAGAAATGTCCTTAAAATATAGTGATACAAATAGAAAGAGAGGAGGGGCTCAGAAGTCAGGGCCCTGAATGATAAGAGAAAATATGTGATATTCTTGGCTTTAAAATATGCTTTAAAAACATGAATGTATTGATCATCATGACAAAAACAGATCAGTCATTTAAAGCTCTTTAACTTTTCTGCATCTTTCCACTCACGCCTCACTCCACCCCCTCCCATACCACGCCTGGGTTGTTCCCACGGACCTCTCTTTCCTCCCCTCGTACCCAGTCCCTCTTTCATGCCACTTCCTTGCAGAAGACACACCAGAGCGCCCTGCAGGTACAGCAGAAAGCTGAGGCACTGCTCCAGGCTGGCCACTACGATGCCGACGCCATCCGAGAATGTGCTGAGAAGGTGGCCCTCCACTGGCAGCAGCTCATGCTGAAGATGGAAGACCGGCTAAAACTGGTCAATGCCTCTGTGGCCTTTTACAAAACTTCCGAACAGGTGAGAGAAGAGGACATGGGACATGCTGGGTTGAGGTTAACACAGAGCTGTTTCCTGCCTCACATTGCAATTCTGCAGTACAAACTACTTCAGCAAGACGCCAGTCCGTAGTGCTAGCCTTTGACTGGAATAGGAGAATGGTTTATAAAAACATCACAGTTGGTTTGCTTATCACCTATTAGAGCAGTGGATCATTTATTTCATTTCTCATAAATTTCTCAAACTCATCAATTCCATATGGGGTGTTGGATTAGAAATCATGCATATGCTGAATACCAGATTTGAGAAACATATCTCTTAGCTATTGACACAATAATGCTGTATAACAAACCACCCCAAAACACAGTGATATAAAATGGTACATATTTGGTTTTTTGTTTGTTTGTTTGTTTGCTTAAATATATGGGACTGAGTTGATCTCAGCTTATTTTGGTAGAACCAGGCTTCAGGCTGTGGACTGAGTCTAGATCTGCTCCCATGTCTCTTGTCCTCTTTAACCAGCAACTGCTTAAGGCACATTTATAATTAAAGGTGAGAGTGCAAGAATCCAAAATCTACTGTATGAGTGAATTTCAAGTCTTGGCTTACATCACATTGTCTAATATCCACTTGGCCGAAACAAGTCAATGAGGCCGCAGTGCCTCCTATGAGAGTTGAGAGGAGAGGCTGAATATTTGCTGAACAATAACACAGTCTATCACAGTTAGGTATTATGCAGTGCTTGAAAAACATGCTGCTATTTCATTCAGGGGCTCCCAATCTAATACAGGAAAACACAGCCCTCTGTATGTAGGGAGCTATGAGCCTAACTGATAAAATGGTGCAGCTGTGAGAGAAAAGGCAGGAGATACGTATAACAGGGTCATAAAGAAGCAGAGACATTACCATTACATCTGTACAACAATATGTCCAAGTGCTAAGAGGACTTTTTAAATGATTTGGGTGGTGTTAGAGAGCTCTTTATTTTTTTCAAATCAGGGCTTAAAGCAGAGTAATTTTATTTGGTGTATAATAACTTCCTCATTTGATTTGCTCCCTGGTAGAAATAGATCAAAGAAACATTTCCCTCTGCTTGACTTACAGAGACCATGGGAAAGTCTGTCTTGGAGCAAATATAACATGCCCATCAGAGGGCCCTGAAACCTGCATTACAGTCTCCACATCTCTCAGTCCTTCTTCCTATTGTTTCAGAAAAATGATGCCTTTGATAGCCACAGAAGTAGGAGCAGCAGACTAACATAATAAAGAGCTTCCCCAGTTGACCTATACATTCCACACAATCCCATTCAAATACCAACAGGAGTTTTTATAGAAACTGATACACTGGTTCTAAGCTTTATATGGAAATAAAATGCAAAGAACTTAGAATAGACAAAGCAATTCTGAAAAGGAAGAATAAAGTTGGAAGGGCAACATTACCTGATTTAAAGACTTACTCTAAAGCCACAGTGATGAGAACAGAATGGTACCAGTGTTAAGAATAGGCACCATGGAACAGAATGATGTCATAGAAGGAGACTCACATGTGTACTCACATGTGTACAGTCACTAGGTTTCTGTCAAAGAAATTCAGTGAATGAAGAAAAGTATTTTCAACAAATAGTGCCAGATAACTAAAATCCATATGGAAAAAATGAGGCTTAATCCCTGTCTAATATCATACACAAATTTCCATTTGAGACAGATCAAGATGGTGATAACGATAGAGCACTGGATTAAAAGTCAGAAAATATGACCCTGAGCTGACCTTGCCAAAAGTTACTTTATCTCTTTGGATTTCTGTTTCTTCACCTATTAAGTTAAAGGATTTACACTTTATAATCTTCTCATTTCTTTTTACTCTCAAGTTGATTTGTTCTAAGTCCAGTCCTAACATAGGACAGATCTCAAGTACTCCTTTATTTAAAACATTTTCATGTCCATACTCTGTTTCATTTCAAGACATGAGCCTGCCTGCACCTTTTCTTGCTTTGCATGAAGAGATGTGGTGCTGAAGGTGGGGCTTGAGAAGTCATTGGAGTTCAGGGACAGACCTCAGGATGTGGGAAGCCTGTCTGGCTGCGTGGGTGTGCTGCCTGGGACGTCTTTCAGCTCCGCTCTCACCTCAGTTCCTAACTCAATGAGCAGCCTGTCCAAGGACACCTCCTTCATGAGATGGGATGACTTCCTCAGAGGAGGGCTGCTCCCCTGCTGCCATATCTAAACAAGTAATCCATCCTCCCCTAGCTCCTGATAGTAGGCTGCCATGGGTCTTCTACTGCAGGACCTGACCTAAGTTTCCCTCCTAACCTTCTTCAAAATGCTTCCGCTCTTTTCTGAGTTCATTTATAAAGTCATTTAGCATGGCCTATGAGCATTGTTAGAACTTCTTACCTATTTTTTAGTTTAACCTAAATTTGTCTTCCCCCATAAGGTAATGTGTATTTTATAATAGAGGGCCTGGAAATGTAATTGCCTTATGGTAGGATTTTGAGACATTTTAGCCAGGACATTTTTCCCCAGCATAGGGGAAAGATTTATGACCCATAAACCACACAACAAGCAACTTCCTCCTTTACGGCTGCTTGTGGCTACTTAACTTTGGGACAGATGCAGATGATTGGGCAAGTCAAATGGCTTCTCCACATCTCATTTCCTGTTCTACCTGATTCAGGACTGTCATGAGGTTATACCAGTGTAATATATGGGAAGTTACAACACTTTGAAATTCAGACAAATGCTTGTCCTTTTTTTTCTCACTTTGCCTACCACTCCTAGGTGATCTCATCAATCCTCATAGCCTCAGCTTCAGCCATGAACTATAAGAAGATAATTTCCAAACTTGTAACTCCAGTTGTAATCTGTCTCCTGAGCCCTGGACACAGGATTCTTATTGCCTCCTGGCTTTCTGTTAGATGTCCCAAGGGCATTACATACTCCAACTCTACAAATTGAACTTTTAATAACAAGTGTCACCTGTGGAGAGTTCTGTGGGCTGAAGGTCCTCAGAGGATACTTCCTGACCAATTAACTCACTGATTCTTTTCCTCCATGATTCATTAGGTGTGCAGTGTCCTGGAGAGTTTAGAACAAGAATACCGGAGAGATGAGGACTGGTGCGGTGGACGAGATAAACTGGGGCCAGCAACAGAGATGGACCACGTCATCCCACTTATCAGCAAACATTTGGAACAAAAGGAGGCCTTTCTTAAGGTCAGAGGACATTGTCATGCAAGGTCTCAGACTCCAACCTTATTCTTTTGTCTCTGTCTCTCTGACTTTCAAATAAGTAAGCAGATACTTAAAAGAAATAGAATTAAATGGGGCCAGTGTTATGGAGCCACTTGGAACACCTGCATCCCATAGGAGCACTGTTAGAGTCTAGGCTGCTCCACTTGCGATCCAGCTCCCTGCTAATGCATTTGGGAATGCAGTGGAAAATGGCCCAAGTACTTGGGCCCTGCCACCCATGTGAGAGATGGAATTCCAGACTCCTGGCTTCATTCTGACTCAACTCCTGGCCATTACAGCCAGTTGGTGGAGTGAACCAATGAATGTACAACCTCTCTCTTCCTCTCTCTCCCTCTCAAGTCTACGTTTCAAGTAAAATACATCTTTAAAAAATAGAATTAAAAGAGTAATTTTATATACCCTATTTATTCATCTAGACATTATCAATTACCAATAAACTATTCTTATGTGTTGAGATGGAAATGCCCCCTGGGGGTTTTGCGAAAACCCTTGCTTCTGGGGAGAGGGTGAGGAGTGGAGTCCTGACCCATGCAGGCTGTCTGGGTTGTAGGAAGTGCTGCGAGCCTCCTCCCCAGCCTTTGATCCTCTCTGTCAGAGGATTCCTGTTCAAGCTTATCTGAAGGCTCCATTTGCCCTTAAATTTCTTGGTTTTTGTTCTGCTTCCTCTGAGGTTTCTGAAAGTATAAAAGAGAATTTTTATACCCTGATATGTTGCCACTAAATTTATACAATTCCATAATTAACTGCCTTTCTTTTATTAGGGATTTTCTCTATTTGACCACCTCTTTGAGTTTCAGTTTTATTGTTTTTTTACGATGTCCTCTCCCTGCCCTCCTCCCATATATCTGGTGTCTGCACTGGTATTGGTTAGAACCCTTAGTAATGAGCTCTTACTAATAACATCAAATAGAAATTTTTCTGTACAGGGATTTAGAAAGCCTTTCCTAGTGCACAAATGAAGCTTAAAACAAAGTGTGATTTAAGTAGAGAACATTAATGGTTTTAAATAGAGGCATCAAGATATTTCTTCATAAAAGTAAAAGAAAATGTTTCTTTTGAAGAAGGAAAAAAGCAAGCCCTCTGGCCTGATGTTTTCCATATGCTCCTACAACCACGGAGAACAACTCCCCATCACTGTGGGAGTTGCAGAATGCCAGGCTCCGCATGTGTGTGCACTAGTTGGTCCATTTTAGATTCCTCGGCACTGGACTGCCATCAGGCTGTTGCGTTCACGAGCCTCAGAGTTCATGGACCCCAGCAGGCTTTCTGCCAGAGATCCTAAAGCCTTTGTTGCTCATTTTCATTAATAAAATTATGTAGTTTTATAATTCCATGACATTAACTATATAATAATTTCAGTTATGTAATTTGCAGGAACAGAGGCAAAGTATTAAAAGGTTTTAAAATTTAAGTTTTGTCTAGAGATCATTTAATTCTGAAAGCCATATATTAAAGATTGGAGTACTATCAAAAGGGAAAGGAGGGGGACTTACTTTTTTGGAGAAATCCAGAAACTTTGTGGGCTTGAGAGACTCTAGAAATATTCTCAGTAGACCCAGACTCCAGATCCAAGCTGTTCCCGGGCCCTGCCCCTGTGGCACCCACAGCCTTCTTCACCACCGTTACAACAGGGGGATGTGACCTGTCCTGTCTGTAGTCCAAGCTGATGAGAATCTTACTTCTTCATGTAGATCATTATTCCCCAATGTAGGATGCTTGTGAGTGTTACTTAGGTGAGGAGGGCTCGGTGGGAAGGCAAATAAGTTTGCAAAACGTTGGAAATTTTCATTTAGATTTAGAAAGTATGGTTAATAAGTATGTTTGCCTAATTTCCTTGCTCAAGTCTAAATCAAACTAATGTTAAACAGGTTTATATCTCCTGGGCTTACACCAGTGGTCACAGAAGGGATGTTCTTGTGACAGAAGAAAGCCAGCCCAAGAGTGACCATCAGCAATGGCAAATCAACACATAGGGAGTCATAGGGAGTCAGGGCACAGCGGGTGTCTGACTTTTCTCTAAGGAGAGAGGAGAGGCCCAAGACACAAGGAAGGCTCAGACGTGTGAGCCTCTTAAACTGGAATAGGAGCGTCCATGGACCAGAAGTGACTGCCATGGCTCTTCCCCTCCAGGTTCCTCCAGGACCCTCATCACTGCTAAGTCCTTGAGCCTCCTACAGAGTGAAAGGAGGCCCCCCTGGGGTCTTGGCTCCTATACACCTAGAGGGGACAAGGACCTCACGCCTTTGTTTCCCTCAGGCCTGCACCCTGGCACGGCGGAACGCTGAGGTGTTTCTCAAGTACATCCACAGGAACAACGTCAGCATGCCCAGTGTCGCCAGCCACACCCGGGGACCTGAGCAGCAAGTGAAAGGTCAGTGAGACACCTGCCGGGCCACAAGCCACTTCAGCAGCATGCACTGGAAGCCAGCCCCTCCCTTCCGTGCACTGCACACCCAGCCTTCAGCAGGCCCAGATGTCCTCCTCCTCCTCCCTGAAGAAGAAAAGTAGAATGTGGGACAATGTGGGTAACAGTGATTCATGGTCAGTTTGTAAACATGCATCAAGACTTGACATGGAGAAATAAGGACAAAATTTCTCAAGATTTTTCATCTTTCTTAGAGTCTGGAGCCTCACTGCCTAATAGTTTTAAGATAATGGGAACGGATGGTCTGTATCTACATGGTTCAATATAGTAGCACTAGTCACATGTGGCTATTGAGCACTTGATATGTGGTTAATGCAACTGAGGAACTAAATTTTTACTTTTAATTAATGTAAAAAGAAATAGTTAAATATAGTTCATGGCTAACAGGTTGAACAGCACAAGGCTAAGGTATCTTATAGCCTGGGAAGAAGACATTGACTGAGAATCATGAAGCCAAGTACTAATCCTAGAGCTGTCACCTATTGTCTAAGCTTTTAAAACTTCAGTCTTCTTATTTTAAAAAGAGGTGCTTGTCTAGACCCTTGCTACTCAGAATGTAGTCCCCAGACCAGCAGTCCTGACATCACTTGGGAGCTTGTAACAAACATAGAATCTTAGCCCACCACCCAAAATACAGTGTCAGTATCTGCATTTTGATGAGACCCCCCATGCTTATCCCACCAACCAGGTGGAGTAGGTGCACATAAAGTTTAGATAAGTCTATTCTAAATAATCTTTAATATCTCTCTGAATTCTGTTAAGTTCATGATTATATGAAAAAAATGCAAACTTTAAGTTATTATTCATGGAGTTACCATGTCCATGCACAAATTAACCTTTGAGTTAGGTGAAGAGTTTAGCAGATGTCATCATGACAAAGCAGAAAAATACAACCTTGGAGACTGAGGCTAGGGAGGGAACCCAAGCTGACGTGGAGCAAGGGCTGGGACAGGCTTGGAGACACTGTGGACAGAGTGGAGGTCCAATGGTCTGCTTTAGGAAGAGCTTCTGCCTCCTGCTCAGAAAGCTTAAGAGTTGGGAAGATCAGAGGTCCCTGGAAAGACTTAAAGTTAGGAATCAAAGTTCCCCGCAGAGAGGAAGGTAGTAGGGTTCCTGTTCCAGATGTGCTGCTCTGTTTTTGATTGAGGTACCCTGTGGGTGGCTGTCATTATGTCACCCTCTCCTCCACATTTCAGAGCATATGCTCTGACTTCCAACACAGGTGGCAGCCTGGGTGAGGCCGCCCACACCTGTGTTTGTTAAAGAGTAGCAGGCTCTCAGAGAGGAGATGCTTGCTTCTTGGGGACAAGGGCAGGTTGTTGTCTTTGTAAAAGCTTTCAAAGAGAAAAATGACACCTGACCTCCTTCAGGATGTTTTCTTGATTTCTGTTGATTCTTGTAGAGGGAGCTGCAATGAGCAAAGCGGGGACATAGAAACTAAAGACCACAGGTTCTCACCCCATCTTTACCCAGTGAAAGCTTCCACCTGGGCAGGGACTTACGATCCATTCTAGTCTCTTCTGTATCTGTTTCCTTTTCACCTGCTGCCTGGACCCAAAACCAGTGCCACATAGATTTTTGTTATGGGAGCAACTATTACTACATAACAACCAAAAAAAAAAAAAATTCAGAAGCATACAACTGTAACCATGTGTTGTTTGAGAGGCTACGTGGCTGGGGGTTAGCTATCGTGGCTGGGCTCAGCAATGCACTGTGCTTCAGCTCCAAGTCTGCCTGGCTTGGCTGCCTCACTACAGGTAAGGGTCTCGTCTGTTCCATGTATATTCATTCTGAGTCCCGGATTAAAGGGGAAGTGGATACCCAGAGGTTCTTATAGGGGTGATGGCAGGGGTGCAGGAGGCAAGGTCAAGTCCACAGCACATTTTTCAAGCCCCTGCTTGTGTCATATCTGTTAACAACCAATTTGTCAAAGCAAGTCATGTGGATGAGCCGGAGGTCAGTAAGAGAGTAAGGAAGTATACTTTGCCTTTTAAGGAAAGAAGTAAAAAGTTGCAAGATAAAAAATAGATTAGGGGGCCAGTATTGAGAGGTAGTTGGTGAAGCCACTGCCTGTGTTGCTGACATCTTATATGGGTACTGGTTTGTGTCCCAGTTGCTCCATTTCTTTTTTTTTTTTAATGATTTATTTATTTATTTGAAAGGCAGAGCTACAGAGAGGCAGGGAGGGAGGGAGGGAGGTCCTCCATCCATTGGTCCACTCCCCAGATGGCCACAATTACCGGAGCTGTACTGATCCAAAGACAGGAGCCAGGAGCTTTCTCCAGGTCTCCCATGTGGGTGCAGGGGCCCAAGGATTTGGGCCATCTTCTACTGCTTTCCCAGGTCACAGGAAAGAACTGGATGGGAGTGGAGCAGCTGGAACTCGAACCACCGCCCAAATGGGATGCTGGCACCATAGGCGGCCGCTTTATCTGCTACTCCACAGCAACGGGCCCCCAGCTGCTCCACTTATGATCCAGCTCCCTGCCAATGGCCTGGAAAAGGCAGCGGAGGATGTGGTTGGGCCCCTGCTACCTATATGGGAGACCCAAATGAAGCTTCTGGCTCCTGACTTGGCCTGGCTCAGCCCTAGCCATTGCAGCCATCTAGGAAGTGAGCCAGCATATGGAAGATCTTTCTCTGTCTCTCTGTAACTCTGATTTTCAAAGAAATAAATAAATTTTTATATAAAAAAGGAATAGATCAAGCAGGGATGAATAATTGGGACTCAGAAACACTCTCAGCCTAAGAGAATAGAGACAGCAACAATCCTTAGAGCCAAACCTTCAGCGAGGAATGTAAAGTACATAAAAATCAAAAAAATGTCTAAGTACAAGGCCTGTGACTTGAGTTATGTCATCTTTGTAAAAAATAGTAATGTGCTCTTTGCCCTAGTCACCTAGGAACCATGGTGGCTAAGATTCTGAACAGACTCTGAACAGACCTGACCCAAATTCTGATTCTACCCCTTCCTACCTGAATGACTATGTACAACTTACCAATTTTCTGTAAACCTCAGTTTCCTCATCTGCAAAATGAGGCTAGTAATAGTGCAGTATGCCCCGAGCTATCATGAAAATATGTGCCTGTCGCATAGTGAGTGTCACATAAATATTAATTATCCATGTCATCATTATTGTGTATTTTATTAATATCTGATATAGTGAATAGAAAGCAGGAGGCGAATCAAAATAAATTTGATCACTCGAGTGTGGAGCATACTAGTTAAAACACTTAGGAAATCTGTCCATGCAGCCAGTCACTCCTGCAGTGAGAGAAGAAGTAGGGTGGGGAGTATCATGGACTGAATGCATGCCATGGCCCTCTTGTGGTGCCACACACTGTGTGTGTAGCCTCTCATTTGGCATCTCTAGAGATAATGTGAGCATAGCTTTCAGCTTTTCTTATGATCAGGTCCAAAACAAGGTGGAAATTTGCTCCTAGAAACTACGTGTAGACCGGATTCCAACACAGCTTCCCTGTGTTCACTGTTTAGAAGTGCTTAAATCAACACACTTGTGCAGGACTGAGAGTGTGGCTCATGACAAGGGCTGTCCGTGCAGCTACACCTGACCTCACTCCATGCTCACCTCCTGACTCCCTTCCAGCAGCTCCACCAGACCTTCCCAGATTATCAAAGTCCATCCATGCTCAGTAAACTCTAGGGACTGACCGAGTTAGTTTCTGTGTTGGGGGCTGACACCTCCCAGGGTCCCTTACAACCACAGACTAACTTGTGTGTGAAGAGAATGAGAACCACTGGTAAGTCCACTGTGTCATATCCTTCTCCCATTAATTGACAGAACTCTTGTCAACAGGCTGTCTCACCCCAGACTCCCAAGTCTTGCTTTCTAATGGGAGAACTTCTGGGAAATTCTCTCTGTCCCCAGAGTTTTCTCCCTTTCTTCTGACGCTAGGTGAGTCCTCTGGGGAGGCTTGAAAGTCACAGGCACATGACACATGGGCTGTGGGGCTGAAGTGCTTGGTGGGGTCTGCTCAGAGCCTTCCTGTGACTGGTGTGGTCTCCTCTGCCCTGCAGCCATCTTGAGTGAGCTCTTACAGAGGGAGAACCGTGTCCTGCACTTCTGGACTTTGAAGAAGCGGCGGTTAGACCAGTGCCAGCAATATGTGGTGTTTGAGCGCAGCGCCAAGCAGGTATGTCCAGTGCTTCTCCAGGATTTGCCTCAGTTCTGGGCAGTAATCAGAGGCCCAGCTGACCAGAGCTTGTGACAGTGCAGAGGAAGTCCACAGCAGTAGGCAGAGTGGAAATGGGAGGTGGGGATGAAGAGAGGAAGGAGAATAGGTTGTAACCTGTGTCACCTGACTGGCTGAGCATTTACCACACTCTGTTCTGAGTTCAATATGAGGAGATGCTAGGGCACCCAGTGTGCCCCAAGGCCCTGGAAGCTCCTGGGCCTGGCCTGGAAGACTCTGTGGTCTACTAGAGCAGACACTCTCCTCACTGGAGAGAAGTTTTAAATTGGAGATTGGCTCATTCATAACAACAACTTCAGAGCTACGTGCTGAGCAAATTGTGTCAGTGTCTCCTGTATTCATCCTGTGTCCCCAGTGGTAAACTTTCACTGTGGCATGGTGGCATGACTTCCTACTGATAGCTGCCTTTCAGGGAACTGGCTGTGTTGTTTTCTCCCACAGGCACTGGACTGGATTCAAGAAACAGGTGAATATTACCTCTCAACACATACCTCCACTGGAGAGACCACAGAGGAGACTCAGGAACTGCTGAAAGAATATGGGGAATTCAGGGTACCTGCCAAGGTAGGAGACTTCCCAAGCCCCTCCCCAAATCCATCTGGCATGCCCCACTCTGACTAGTTTCATATTAAAGAAGCAAAAGGCCATTTGTGAGGGGAAATACTTGGCCACAGTGGCAAGGAGGAAAACATGTTTAGGATTGTCTCCTTTGAAACCTGTATGCCCAAAGATTGCAGCTGCTGGGTAAAACAGTTATAGGAGGTCAACTACTAACCCCATGCTCCCAAATACTAGGCTTCATGCTCCACATTCTAGAATCTGCAATGTTCTTTTAGACCAAATTTGACAAATGTGTACTCATACAAAAATTTGCACATATCCATATATTCTTGATATTTGAATGGCTTGAGAAGTCCACCTTTGTTGGGGTCTTAAGCCTGAGGCTGGCCCCTGACCAGCAGGGGACAGTACAAGCACTCCCCGACAAGGCGAACGGGAGAGGTAAAGTCGACAGGTCAAGCACACTGCAGCAAGCACCCGTGAGTTCTGTTGAAGCAGAAACTACTTTATGAGGAAGTGTACAGGCTTATAAAGCTTATGAAAGACATGCGCAGTAGGGGAGCCAATCAGCGAAAAGGTCATGCAGGCATGGGTGGACCATGCACAGGGGCATATAGGGCTCATGCACTGTCCCTGTGTCTGGAACTGAAGTGGACCTATCCCTGCAGGTGGTCCGATCTCGCGTGACTTAAGCGCAGTGGCCGCAAACACACTCCCCGAACATCTGCCAGGCGCCATGTTGTAGGAACTATTGTAGGCAATGCCCAATACACCTTAAGGGAAAGGCTGATGATTATGGGTGGGTTCATAAAGCAGGTGTGAGTTTCTTATTTCCTGAGCTGACTATTTCTATCGGGCCTCACACCTGCTTCTGAGCCAATCTGGATCTCCAGGGAGCAAAACATGCATGGGTACACATACCCCCCAACACACACACACACTCACAGCCTCTTTCAAGCTGGGTTGCTGGGAGAGAGGTGCTATCATAATAAGAAATCTGGTCACCTGTTGTCACAGCCAGAATTTCAGTTTGATCTGAGAAGCCATGGGTTTGAATGAAACTCTGGTCTCAACTGCCTTCTTGCAGCACCTTCATCCCTCACACTGTGCTCCCTGCTTTGTAGGAGCCTTTCTTGGCTTCACATGCACCCTTGCAGCTGCTCTTCCAAGGTGGAAAGAGCTGCTTCCATGGAGGCCAAGGAGGAGAGTGTGTTACTTCTCCCATCCTACCAGAGATACTTCTGGCACTAGTGCCCCTCTAGTTTGCTGTGGCAAAATTAGGCCCTATCCTCATTCATTCCTGAACTGATATTTGAGAAGTGGCCGTGTACTTTATGAACCCTATCAGAACTCTCAATATTAGGGAGCCTTCTCCTGCATGCTTGTGGGTATTTGGGCTTTTTTGCCCAATATGAAAAATGGGGAGTTCAGCTAAGAGACTGTTTTCAATACTAACTGGAGCAAGTAGCATAAAGAAGGTGGCAGATGCTTAGAACCCTTTTCAAATACAAATGAAAATGGCTTTTGAATTAATTTGAGTTTATCTGCCTCTCTCCAAATAGTGTCAGTAATTAACTACTCACTGACCGAATCCCATCTGATCTCTTGGTGTTTCTACCTACATAGGATGGGTCATGGCAGATACCCAAAAGCTTCCTAGGATCAGAATCTGTCCAAATGCTAAGTGCAAATTGGGAGAATTGCTCAGTTTAGCTCATCCTTCCTTTACAACCTTCCTCCAATCTTTCCCTTCTTTTCCATTCACGTCGGTAGCACCCTAAGCAGCAACAGCTTCCTAACTAGGTCCCATGCTTGTGACCTTTCCTTCCTTCCAATCTATTCTTGGTGTTCATCTTTAAAGCAACTTCCACAACTGTACCACCCTATCACCCCCCCCCCCCCACAGAATTACTTTCATCCATCTCTTATGAAAGCTCTGTGCTCCAGCTAAGTGGATGTATTTTCTTACCTCTGAGAAATACCTCATGTATTACTTTTTGCCTCTGCACATTTCCCATTCCATTTTCCTGCCCAAAATGTCCTTCCCTTCCCTCTAGTGTATACTTTTTTTTTTTGACAGGAAGAGTTAGACAGAGACAGAAAGGTCTTCCTTTTCCATTGGTTCACCCCCTAAATGGCCGCTGCGGTCAGTGCGCTGTACCGATCCGAAGCCAGGAGCCAGGTGCTTCCTCCTGGTCTCCCATGCGGGTGCAGGGCCCAAGCACTTGGGCCATCCTCCACTGCCTTCCCTGGCCACAGCAGAGAGCTGGACTGGAAGAGGGGCAACCAGGACAGAATCCAACGCCCCAACCAGGACTAGAACCCAGGGTGTCGGCTCTGTAGGCGGAGGATCAGCCAAGTGAGCAGTGGCGCCGGCCTGTAGTGTATACTTTTTAACAGATGCTCATCTTTCCAATGCAATGCCTGCTCCTCTGTTCTCCTGCTGCATGTCAGGGTATTATCTGACCCATCCCTGCACACACCCTTGTCTTTATAATCATAAGGCACCTGTCATGGATTGTCTGCTCTTCAGTAATCTGTGTACAATGGGATTCCATTTGTCAGCCAGCGAGATCTCCATGGATGAGAACCACACGTTGTTCATGCTTTGTTCCTCAGGCTGCCTGACTGTGTCTTACACATTGAAGGGAGGCCACAATATGTTCATGAACATAAGGAGGGAAAAGGAAGTTTGGGTAGATTTCAACAATGCCCCAATCTATATTTAATATGATTCTGCTACTTTGGTTCTCAATGTTCTCTCTCCCTTTCAACATAACTACTTCTACTACTGTCTTTATATCTACCATGCCCTAGAGCTCAATGCTGTTTGTGTCAGTAGCTAAAGAGTCCTAAGTCCAGCTGAGGAGTTTCTGGGAAAAGCAATAGCCTCCTGCCCTACCTCAGTCCCACTTCCCAGAGGATAGCCTCTGTTAACCAGCCATCATTGCTTTTTTAAAAAAAGATTTATTTTATTTATTTGAAAGGCAGAGTTACAGAGAGGCAGAGGCAGAGAGAGGGAGGTCTTCCATCCACTGGTTCACTCCCCAGGTGGCCTCAATGGCCAGAGCTGTCCCAATCTGAAGCTGGGAGCTAGGAGCTTCTTCTGGGTCTCCCAAGTGGGTGCAAAGTGGCTGCAGGCGCCCAAGGACTTGAGCCATCTTCTACTGCTTTTCCAGGCCATAGCAGAGAGCTGGATCAGAAGAGGAGCAGCCGAGACTTGTACCGGCATCCATATGGGATGCCGGCACTTCAGGCGGCGGCTTTTACCCACTACGCCACAGTACCAGCCCACCACCATTGCTTTTAATCTTTATAACCACTAAAAAAAATCTGAAATAGAAACCAAATTGACCTTGGACCACAAAAGAATGAATACAGTGGCTCTTGTGATTGAATGAGGCAATAGAGTATATTGTATTATTATACTCTGCTCCAAAGAAACAGATCAAGTAGAAGAAACACTGAATATAAAAAGATACTTTCTCTATAAAACCCACCAATGTAAGAATCAAAGTGAGGCAGAGAGTTTGGGTGAAGATAAGAGGAAAACAAAATTTCTATGTTGTGGTATGCCCCTAGACAATCTAATTAGGAGGATACAAATGACATTTTCCTATTGTGGGTTTCAAAATATAGAAGGAGTCAAGGCACACAGTATTAGGTTTAATCGTCATGACATCTGGGAGAACTCTGTTTCTTCTAGAAACAAAACTTTTTAAGATTCTTTTTTTTTCTACAATTCAGTGTTTTTCAGTATAGTATATTCATGAGACTACACAACCATTGGCACTATTTTTTCCAAAATAGTTTCATGACCCCCACAGAAAAACCCCATACCTATTACCAGTCACTTCCCGTTCTCCCCTTCCCCCCAGTCCCTAGCAACCACTGTTTTACTTTCTGTCTTCATGGATTTGCCTGCTCTGGACATTTCATATAAATGGTGTTATGTCATATGTAGGGTTTTTTCTGACTAGCTTCTTCCTCTTAGCATATATTTTAGGATTTATCTGTGTTGTAACATTTATGAGTATCTGGCTCCTTGTTATGGCTGAATAATATTCCATTGTATGGGCACACTACTTTTTGTTTACCCTTCATCAGTTGATGGACATTTGGGCTGTTTTGAATTTTTGAGTATTATGAATAATGTTGCTATGAACATTCATGTTTTGATGTGAATTTGTGTTTTCAGTTCTATTGTGTGAATACCTTGAAGTAGAATGTCAGGGTTATACGGTGCCTTTGTATTTAACATTTTCCAAAGTGGCTGTACCATTTTACACTCTTATCAGATAGCAGCATATATATAAGGGTTCCAGTGTCTCCACATCCTGACCAACACAAAGTCCATGTTTGTCTCTTTGATACAGCTATCCAAGAAAGTATGAAGGAGTATCCATAGTGGTTTTGACTAGCCCATGCCAATGACCAATTATATTGAGATAACACTTTTTTAAACTGATGATCTTTATCTCTGAAAGTGAAGGAAGTCATAAGATATACTGGACTTCCTTCTTCTTAACAAAAGAGAATTAAGCAGTAGTGAAAGTGACTGGATCCTTGACCCAACTAAATTATGTCTGCTTGGAATTCAGGCAGCAAGGAAAGGGGATAACAGGGACAGTCAGACAAAGAAAAGTCTAAAAGGTTCAGATAGAAGACAGCATGATTCAGTTTCTGGATCTCCTAAGAGGAATATAGCTTATATGTGATGGAATTTTAGTTTTTCATGTATAGTAACAAATGATCCCCTGTGCAGTGAATATGAAGATGTATCTTAAGAAGCTGTTACCTACACAAGGAGCATGATAATTTCATAGCTACAAAAAATACATACAATAAATACCAGGACTATCAATATTGAAAGTCAACTATCAAAGATTATCAGAGTATAATAATATCAAGAAGGCTAAATCTTAAAGAATTATAAAATATGTTAAAGGCAAAGGGCTTCTAAAAACTTTATTCAAAGTAAGAATCACTGATTAGGGAAAGATGGTAAATATTAACTGATCAAAGAAGAAAGAAAGGAAGAAGAAAAGGGAGATAGAGAAGAAAATATACTACTGAACTCATTTTTCCTTAACATCTGTCTTTTCCTGCAGTTCACATGGAATTCGAAATGGAAAGGATAGAACATACATTAGGACACAATGAAACCCAAGATAAGTGAGTTGTCAGTTCAGATTTCCAGCTCTAGACGAGTTTAGTCTCCGAAGTCTCCCTTTTGCTCACAGATCACGTCTATATTTCTAAACCTGTCATTCAAGAGCCACTACAATGTGACCCCTACTTTATCATTCTATATGAGTTACCTTGGTAGCAAGGTGTGAGTTTCAAAATGGCTTCAGTTATGAAGGAGAAAAGGTACTGTGCACCTGTTTGTGGCAACAAAGAAGATAGAAGCTCTGTGGCTGGACCACCCAGCATGCAGGAAAAGCTGGATGACTCAGCCCTATGTGCACAGCCTTACCATTGGAGATGGCAACTGGGGTGTCACCCGAGACCGGCAGCAGCTCAAGTAGCCGTGTGATCTGGTCATCTTCCCAGAGCAGGGAATAGGGGCTCTCTGAGATGTTCCTCCATTGCTATGATTCAGTTTTCCTGTATTCTATTTGTATGTTCACTTCTGCTTTGCAGCCAACCTCTCAGATCCCTGTCTGCAATTCAAATCCCAGGGAAACAACCTCAGTTGACCCAGTACATTGCTACTGTCACTGTCTTGACAGAGCTTTCAGGCCAGGACACCTTAGAAGTCACTGGTCAAGTGTTTACCTCTGATCTCATCAGCTGAGACCAGGCATGTGGCAGGTTACATGGTACCGTCATGATCACAAGTGCAGAAGAAACCATTTCAGGCTGCTCTCATGGGGGCCATGACCCTGGTTGGCAGCTTAGTGGGCTTGTCTACTTGATGGGCCAAACTTATCATCTAACTCTTCCAAAACAAACATCCAACTCTTGCTGGTCTAGCTTACCTTGCCCTTAACCACAAGATTTGCTCATCCATTTCCTTATTACTCCATTCAACATGTATGGTGTGCCTACTATTTTCTGGTCTGGAAATATATAAATGAATATAATGTAATACTTACCTTTTAGGAATGTCTAATGAAAGAGGCACATAAATAACTCATATGGACGCATGCCTATGGTACTGTGGAACACTGGGAAGGGCATCACCCTCTCTTCTCGAGGGGAGGAAAGCTAGAGAGCCATTGGATTCAGGTGGGGATGAGTAGGTTCCCTCCACCCACTCCCTCACATATATGCTCAGCATAGCAGGAGGGGCATGCAGCACTAAACATGGCTGCAGTTAGGGACACAGAAAGCAGTAAGATGTGTAGCACCACACAAGGATGGGCTTGTCTACTCGGCTCATTTCACCATTTGCTCTCCCACGTGCCACACATCCCTAGAATTCTCCTTATGAACTCCAAATGACTGTTTTGATGCTTCAGGATAAAATATTTGATACAGCTACCCTGGTGGGCTGCTGCCACCAGCTAGCTATAAAACTTCCATAGGTGAAGATATCTTACCAAAGCAGAAAATATAGACAAGGTAGGGGGAGCTTCAAAAAAATTCATGGAAAATGCATATTATGGCAAAATGTTACATGGATTTCAAAATTTGTGCACCAAAATAAACTTGTCTATTCCATTTTTCCTGCAAATTTTTACCCTTGTATTTCCAAGACTTTTACATGAAAATGGATTTTTTATTATAACAAAGTTCCTTCTAAGGCAATAGGAAACCTAAGCAAAGTTGTTCTCATGGAGAAAAACTCTACATGCAATAAACTACACATTTTTAGGACACCAGGAATCTTTTCTTCCTAAATGCTGAATTGTTTACTCCTTGTCTTTCCTCTATTGTCCCCACACCACTTCCTTTCCTTCACTCCAAATCTCTGAGGTCTCTATCTCCTAATCCTGGGCGTGAGCCTGCTGTCCTGAGATAGGAGAGGCTTGAGTGTATTGAGTGAGCTATGAGAGTTGGAGCCATAATCTCCCTGGCCATGTAGCAGGCAAAGCACTTTCTGCTTGCTGGAAACTCTCCTCTCCCTCTCTCCCTCTGCCTCTTCTTCTCCCTCTCCCAGTTCTCTTAGTTTTTTTTATTCCATTCTTTATTTTTTTTCTTTTGCTTTTGCTTTCTTGGATAAAAAAGGAGAGTGAGGAAAAGTTGGGGGGGAGAATGGATGGGAGGGTGGGTATGGTGAGAATAATTACTATATTCCTAATGTTGTATTTATGAGATACATACAAATTTTTTTAAAAAAAGATTGATTTACTTGAAAGTCAGAGTTACACATGCAGAGGGGGAAAGATAGCTCATCCATCCACTGGTTCACTTCCCGATGGTCACAATAGCCTAGGCTGGGCCAAGCCAAAGCCAGGAGCTTCCTCTGTGTCTCCCACATGGACAGTAGGGACCCAAGCACTTAGGCCATCTTCTGCTGCTTTTCTCAGGCCATTGCAGTGAGCTGCATTGTAAGTGGAGCAGCCTGGACATGAACTGGCACCCGTTGCAGGTAGTGGCTTTACCTGATGAAGCACAATGCTGACCCAAAGAATAGGAAAATTAAGGTAGTTTCTCAGCTGTCTTCTGAGAAAAATTTGTGAGTCTTTTAAAAATATGTTGATATATTTATTAAGAAAAAACAGCAATAAACCCATTACTGTTTCTAATGAAGGCTGCATAAGTAATATTGATTTGTTACTTAATATGTATTGCTAATGAACATGAAAAGCAATATAAATTATTTAGTTTTTCAAAAAATTCTTGTTGAGGAGCAGAGACATTGGCATAGCCATTAATATGCCATTTGGGATGATGGTTTAGGTAGTTGGGTCCCTGCTACCCTCTTGGACAACCTGGATTCAGTTCCTGGCTCCCAGCTTTGTTGAGGGCATTTTGGGAATGAACTAGTAGATGAGAAATCTTTCTCTATTTCTCTCTGTATCTGTCTTTCAAATAAATAAAATAGATGTGTTAACTATATATACTTCTCATTTCTACATTCAATTATATAATGCCCTGAGTTATTTAGTAGTTTCTGAGACTATCATATGTGAAGTCTTTCTGCTCTAGAGATTATAAACTTTGGATGAAGTGATATTTTCCCCCTTTTTTTGTATACTCCCAAGCTCAGGGCTGTGGACAGAGGAGGTGCTGGACAGACTCTTGCTAGACATGAAATTCAGCCAGTACATGGCAGTAGTTCTGCCTTCCTTAGTCCTTTGGGCACTAACTTCATTAGCCCCTTTCTCCCTCTGTCTGGTGGAAACTAAAGACACAGTGCTGTGGTGAAAGGAACACAGTTCAGTCCTGCTAATTGGACTTCTTTGGAGCCTAACACCTGTCAATTTATGTGGTATTTAGAACCTACTTCAGGCCAGTACAGTCAAGAGAGAAAACCAGGACAAAGAATCAGAGGCAAACAGGTTCTTTGATGTACTGGTAGTATGCACTCAGACCTCTCTGTGTGTGGGTTTTCTTCCTGGATGATTAAAAGAGACCTGCACCATCTGCCTCTATCTACTCCCTAAGGATGCTTTACGAGTCAAATGAACCTCAGATGTGATGTTGGCCTACTCTGTAAACTGGTAAAACTCTTATTAATTTAAGAGATTCTCATATCAATAACAATAATAATGGCTGACATTTGTGACTCCTGAGTTCCTGCTGTAATTGAGTGCTTACTGTATTTCAGGCACTGTTCTAAACATGCTTCCTGATCAGCCCATTTATACTCACAGCATCCCTGCAATGCAGGCACTATTATGAGAGTAAACGTGATTCAGTAACTTAAGACCATTTTTTGGGGCAGCAAACCAAGGAGAAGGTGAAGCTTCTGGTTCAGCTGGCAGATAGCTTTGTGGAGAAAGGCCACATCCATGCCACGGAGATAAGGAAGTGGGTGACCACGGTGGACAAGCACTACAGAGACTTCTCCTTGAGGATGGGGAAATACCGACACTCCCTAGAGAAAGCCCTAGGAGTCAACACAGAGGTAGGTGTGGGGTATTTCCACCTGGGAGGACCTCCTTTCTCATGACCCACGATTCCATTGCCCTCGAGCCGTCCCTCTGAGCTCCTGATCCCTGGAACACTCGCCTTGTGTGGGTTTTTTTAGTGAGGGTAGAGGGATCTTGCTGTTCCCTTCATTTCCAGGTCCCCATGCTTAGCACTCTGTATCTTGCAAAATGGGCTGACCAGGAATGGGACTGATGGCTGCAGAACAGAGCTTCTCTCTGTGCAGATTTAACCGTTGGCTTTGAGGACTAAACCTGCTATCTTGGCTTCATCAGTACCATCTTCCAGCCAATTATGTTAATCAGCAAATGATTAGCATCCTCAGCAAATGATTAGAGTCCCAAGTATGAACAATAGTACTCTTTCAAGAATAGGGGGTACCATTTGCACAAAGGTTATTTGGCATTTCGACTGAAAAGAGGTAGTTTTTGCCATGAAGGAAAAGAAGGCTGACTTTTAATCTCTTCTTCATAATAGGGGTCAGTAACCTATGAATTAAGAGCTAAATACAGCTTGGCAGCTTAATTCTAGGATTTCTAATTCTTAACTCTTTAAATAGACCCATGCTTTGAAGCAGAGCAGCCTAGAGAGTGAAGTGGTCAAACCACTAGGAATTGAGTCAGTTAATGTCTCCCCCAGGCTTTCATCTGTGAGGTTTTCTTTTTTCCCTACAGGATCCTATCATTTATAAATATCAAATGGTGATTCAAATAAAGAGCGATGAGCAATTAGAAAATTCAGTCATTGTTCAATCATTTAGCATTCTATTTCCAAGGGAAATTGCTTATTTAAATAAAAATATTTAGTTTTACTGTTTTCTTTTGAAAATGAAAGGGGTTTTTAATGTCTGTGTGTGTTTCTGTTCCACATTTATTTTAATGGTTAAGAATCAATCTTAAGCTAATTTGTGTGTGTGTTTAGAGTTAATCAGAACCAAAAGCCTCAGGGAAATAGAGGCATAATTATCAAATGTGTTCATTGTTTTTTCTTGCTGCAGATATCAGCCTTGAACATTAGACCTGAAAGTTGTATATATTTCTGACTTGAAAAAAAAAAGTATGCCTTGAAGAAGTGTGATTGTGGATGAACTCTATAGAGTCCCCTATCTTTTTCTCTTTTTCTGATACTTTTCTCTATTATCCCCCTTGCCACCTCCCCCAACTTGGATGAGCTGATTCCCAAAGCCTCTTCAAGGTGACCTCTGTGATCCCTCTGTAGGATAACAAGGACCTGGAGCTGGACATCATCCCAGCAAGCCTTTCCGATCGTGAGGTCAAGCTACGGGATGCCAACCACGAAATCAATGAAGAGAAGCGGAAGTCAGCCCGGAAGAAAGAGTACGTGTTGGGGAGCTCCCACTCCAACTAGCAGGCTCCTTGTGACTGTTTTTGGCCTTCACTGCCACCTTTTGACAGCTTATTGTATATTCGTGACTACCTGTGAGACTGGAGTACACAGACATGATGCTCCCATTGAGAATAGGGTTCACTCTGAAAATGTTTAAGTCTCTCCTATCTGTCCTTCAGCTGAGTACTCCTCATCTATCAGTAGCTTCCTAAAGAAAACCATTTTGGACTATCACATTTCATTTCACAATCTCAAAACTCAACATGGACCAATTTAAATTTTTTATCCCCTTTCAAACTTAGTTTTCCCTTCTGGTTTCCTAATTTTAGTTTTGTAGCCTTAAGGCTCTGAAGGATGCTTCAGCTTAACTCTTTGTTCTTTGTGTCAGTCCTTTTTTCGAAGTTTCTGTGTCTCTGCCATTTTTCCCATTTGTGGCCCTTGTCACCAGAAGTCTAGATTATTTGCCAAAACTGCCCCGGCCTTCCCGCTGCCTGTCCCTGACAGTTCACCTGCACAGTGATGCCAGATTTATCCTTGTGATGTTGTGTTTCATCATTGCTAATACTGATACTCTGCCTACCACCACCCCAGTACCACCCAACTGCTGTTTGTGTTGAACACCCTCTCAGTGCCGTTCACACATCTTCTCATTTGCTCTTCCTAAGCAACTTTCCCCAAGCCACACAGACAATAAGCAGTGAAGCCAGAATTTACTTTAAAATTTATTTATTTATTTAAAGGCAGAGTTAGAGCATGCAATCTTGAGATCTTCCATTCACTGGTTTACTTTCCAAATAGCTGTGAGGGCCAGGAGCCAGGAGCTTCATCTGGGTCTCCCACATGGGTGGCAGGATCCCATATACTTGTGTCATCTTCTGCTGTGTACTCAGGCACATGAGCAGGAAATCTTACAGGAAGTAGGACAGCCAGGACTCAAACCTGTACTCGTTTGGGATGCTAGTGTCACAGATGGTGACTCAACCCACTGTGCCATAAGGTTGTCCCCAGAGGCAGAATTTAAACCAGCTCCATGTGACTCTTTACCACTCTGTATACTGTGATTCATTTCCATGTGTCTCTTACCAGCTCCAAATTAGCTCCAAATTTTAAATGGCTTTATACTGCTTTATCCACACTCCCTGAGGTGCTACCATTTGGCCTCATCTAAGTCAATCTTTTTAAAGTACTTTCCAGTTCAAATGACATGCTTCAGTCAGATCACTTCATCAGCTCCTTTCCAGTGTACATTGTACATAGTTGTTCGTGTAACATTCTTAACCTGGAATCCTCTCCTTTTTGTTTATTCCTTTTCCTTCCCTGTCCTTCCTTCCTCTTCCCTTCCTTTTGTTCTTTTTTTTTTTTTTTGTCTGTTTGATTCTATTTTCTCCTGTCTGTATCCTATTGGTTATTTACAATCCAGCTCATACTCTATGCCTCTATGAATTCTTTATCTACAGCATCTACTGTCATCAGTCCATTCTTTTCTGAACCCCTGCACTTATTTTTTGTCTACAGTGATTCACATTTTACTTATTCAGCTGATTCCTTGGTATATTTCTCTAACTATTAGACTCCTTGAGGTCAAAAAAGTATTTTATATGATGTTGTATGAACCAAGGGCTAAGGGAGTGATGAATATAACATCATTAATTGAGAAAAACGTGCAGAAGTTAACAAAATAAGGACTGGTATGCAAAGTCAGAAGCTGTGTCCCTGGGGGATTCTATTTGTTCATTAGGATCACTGTGACCAGGTGCCACAGTTGACAGCAATGTGCTGCCTGATAGTCTGAAATAAAGGTATCTACGTCGTTGGTTCCTTCTGAGGCTATGAGGGACAGTCAGTTTTCAGGCCTCTCTTCTTGTTCGTAGATGGCTGTTTTCCTGTTCGCATGGTGTTCTGCCTGACTGTGTGTGTGTGTGTGTGTGTGTGTGTGTGTGTAAAAAAAATGCTGCATCCAAAGTCTCCCCTTTTGTAAAGATGCCAATTATGTTAGGGCCCACCCTATTCCTATTCCACGGTGATTCTGTTTCCAAATAAGTCAAAACTAGGGTGTTGTGGGTAAGGCCACACAGCTCAACACATGATAGGAAGGGGAATGTGGATCCTACACTTAGCTAAGTCCTCCTCCTGGGCTACTTCTGGGGCACCAAATATCTGGAAGAGGGTAAAGGAGGTATGGGGAGAGCACAAAATGGGAGTGGAGGGTAGTGGAGATGGAGTGTAAAGACAGGTGAAACTGCAGGAGGCAGATGTGAGACAAAGAACAATGCTGGAGAACCCTCAGCGATGGCATCAAAGGGAATATTTCAAGGCCCAGCAATTCATGTTCCTTCTGATCTTCCTTCTTTCCTAGTTTCGTAACCATTTATGGGCCGTTTAATCACTGAGTGTTTAACCAGCACCTACCATGTGGTGGGCACTTTGCTTACACGTTCCTGTTTAATCCTTGCGGCAGTTCTGCGTGATCAGCTATTTCATAAGTAAGGTGTTAGAGGCTTGGAGCGGCAAATCCTACCTCTAGTAAATGAGAAAGCATAATTCAGCTGCTGTTGGAAGCTTTTGCACTTTCCACCCTACCAGTGGAGAAGAATAGGAAGATAGCAGCTAATTAACTCCTGCAGAAGAAAACTTTTTGAATCACTACTTAAAATCTTAATAGGCTTGTGCTAGAACAATTTATTGCTTTAAGGAAAAATCCCACTACATAAGGGTCCAGGAAATGGTGCTCCTTGTTTAATATTTCTTGTGAAATTTCCAGCAGAGGACATTCTCGGATACTGTTTCTCAAAACTTTCCTGTGATAGAACACTTGGAAATAGGGATTCTCGTTATGAACTCCATGAAAACTGATATAGAAAATATAAATGTATAAATATATGGTTTGTGCTAAATTAGATACCATATGCCAACTAGGAAGCACCATTTCTAATAAAAATTTGTGGAAGAAAAATATGAAGTAGCTAATCCTACAACGAAGCCACACAGTGTAAGTTGAACAGGTGCTCAGGGAGACTGCTATTTGGGGACCCAAGGAGGGAAAGAACCCCTAGCACTCAAAGATGTGTATCACACACTACTCTGTATGGGAGACTGAAGATCAGCAACTTAGCATTGTTAATTTATGCTGTGCTTGTGATATGCCCTATGCACATTGGTTTGTGATATAAATAGACCCCATTAGAAAGAGTGCCTGGGGACAGGTATTTTGGCCTGGTGGTTAAGATACCACTTGGAATTCCCACATCCCCTGTCAGAGTGCCTGGGTTCAAGTACTGGATCCACTCTTGATTCCAGCTGCCTGATAACATACACCCTAGAAGGCAATAAGTAATGACTCAAATAGTTGGATCCCTGCCATCCACATGAGAAACATGGATTGAGTTCCCAGATATTGGCTTTATCCTGGCCCAGCCCCAGCTATTGACAGCATTTGGGGAGTAAACCAACAGATGGGAGCTCTCTGTCCCTCTGCCTCTCTAATAAATATATAGGTTTTAAAAATAAGTTCTATAATGGATATTTTGTAAAGAAAAAAGTATAATCTAGGGCAGAAGTCAGCAAATGCAGGTCAAATTTGAGCCATTAATTGTTTTATATAGTCTAGAAGCTACGAATGATTTTTTTTCCATTTCTGAATTGTTGAAAAAATTATGACACAGAAATCAGATGAAATTAAAATTTCAGAGTCCATTAATAGTTTTATTGGAACACAGCCATACTTATTTTTGCTTAAACATTGTCTATGAATCCTCTTGTGCCACAGCAACACAGTTGAGTGATTATGTCAGAGACTGAATGGCCTACACATCTTTCCCATCTGGCTCTTCACAGAAAAAGTTGGTAACCCCTGATGTTGGTGATAATGTTGGGATCTTTTCCTGGCTTTAAAACCTGGTTTCACTTAGAATACTGGGAATTATTTAAGTCTACGAACTGTACTGAACAGATACTGTCATTCTGGGAGCTGTAAGAGGAATGGAGGCCGCTAAGACGCAAGCTCTCCAGTTGCTGAGATCTCAAGTGAATAGTCCTGCATCTTGTGCACACAGGCAAGTGCACATGTGCAAGTGAGGGCTCCTGTCTAGCAGCACAGAATCACAGAAAGGTAGGACCAGGATGAAAAAGGTAGAGAGAACATGGAAGTGGCTGAGCATAGACTTGTTTCAGGGGATGCTAAGCAAGTGATCAAGGTGAGAATGACTCAATAACAGAGGGAGGAGTTTGAAAGAAGGGAGAAAACAGGACATCCAAGAATATCATAAATGCTGTGGAAGGGAAGTGAGGTGGAAGGAAAGGGGGTAATACACCTGTGACCAACTCTCAGTCCCTGTGTTGCCTTCTAGGTTCATCATGGCTGAACTACTCCAAACAGAGAAGGCTTACGTGAGGGACTTGCACGAGTGCCTGGAGGTAAGTCCTGTGGTCATCAGTTCACAGCTGTCTTAGAACAATGACTTCCTTGCCCGTGCCTGGTGCTTGAGCAGAGCTCATCACTCTTGCTTTCCTCTGAAAGAGTAATGAATGAAAAGCCAGCCAGAGGAAATCTGTCTCCCAGCATCAACAGTAACTGCATGAGAGTTTAAAGTGTTTTTGAAAAGAAAGTTTAAACTTTTCTCAGACTATAGTTAGACCAAACAAACAAACAAAAAAAGTATATAGGTACATCAATTCAAAAATAAAAACCAGTGAGCTCAGATTGGATCTGACCTACCATGTATGCACACTTATACACACTCACACTCACATACACACACTCAAGCCCAAGCACATTTAGTAAATAACAAGAGTGTTAACAGGGTTTGTGTTCTTGGTAAAGTTTGGGATGATGAAACGTTCAGATTTTATTTCCTTCTGTTCTGCTTGATTAACATTTATTTTTCTAAGCTCTATAAGCATTTCTGGTCTGAGTGTCACCCACAAGCGTGAGGCTGCTTGTGCTGTCAGTATTGCATGTGGCACTGCTTGCCAATGACCACACTGTTGCTGTCTTACAGACCTACCTGTGGGAAATGACCAGTGGTGTGGAGGAGATCCCCCCTGGGATCCTCAATAAAGAGCACATCATCTTTGGAAACATCCAGGAGATCTACGATTTTCACAACAAGTAGGTTGGTGCAAGGTTGCAGGGCCATAAATACAGAGAACAGGCTTCTCAACAAGCGATCCAAGCTACTTGGTAAACCGCGCCCGAGGAAGACTTGTCTGGTCAGTTTTCTTAGGCAGCTGCTTTCTCACTGTTGTCCAGACTTCCTAGTGGGGGATGATGTCAAGTATCCCTCAATGTCCCTCTCCAGTTCTCTGCAGAGACTAGACTGGCAGCATTCTTACATCCCCAATCAGAAAAGTTACCAGTAAACAAACGTAGCTTGCCCTCACTAAAGCTTATGGGAAACCCACACATTACAATTCATCTGAAGTTAATGTTTCTACCTTGTGGTAGAAGTTTTTTGTCAACCTAAATAGTTCCTCCATCCTCAACTATCCTATCATTCTGACCTTTAATTAAACAACAACGATTAAAATAAATAAATAATCAGAGTTCTTAGCAAAACAAATATCTTTACAGCATATAGAGGAGAACCTAATTGACACTCTGTGTTTTGTGGAAATAAATAGAGTCACAGAGCCCTAAAGCCTTACAACTCATTTTTTCCCACCTCTAATTTGATTTAGGAATCTTTTTCACAGTATACAAAACACATTTATTGCTAGTAGAGAGTCAACAAGGGCATTTATAAGATTTATTATGGAAACAACCAAAGATGACAACCTAGTTTCCAAAATACAAATAAAGGGACTCTCAAGACAGGAGGCAGAATACTGGCATAAAGTCCTCAAGCTCCCTCAGGATCCTGTTGCAAAGAGGCACCAAGCCAGGCTAATCATGTTTTTTTTTTTTTTCTGAGCTAAGTGGAAACCCAGGAGATAGAACAGTCAGCTTTGAGAAGTCGCGAGGAGGCCATGTGCAGAGGGGTGGCAGCCACCTTGCACAAGTCCCTGGCACAGCTCTGTCTGAGGGAGCTCTCTACAACGAAAGCAGTGTTCTTCTTCTGCACTGTCCCATTCAGCAGCCACTATGTATCTGATGCTGCTGAACACTTGAAATGTGAATAATGAAGGACTGAGTTTTTAATTTATTTAATTTTTATAAATTTAGATTTAAATGTCCACGAATGGTGAGTGGCCACCATATTAGACAGCCTAGCTCTGGAAAATCAGACCTCAGTATATCCCAGTGCTGAGAGTGACCAAGAGGCAAAGGAAAGTTGAGTGTAAAAAGATCCTGGGCTCTGAGAGGTCCAAATATGGCACAGAAAGTCACTGCTCTCATCGACTCCTGATGACTAAATCCCTGCTGTATCATCAAATTACATCAACCTAAAGACAAAAGAAAATCTGTGTCTCCCATGTATGCTAACCCTGTCAGATCAAGGAATGATCTATTATAAAGGGGGTAAAAAGACCCTTCTGACCTTCTTGGATAGTTAATAAAAGTTCATGGTCCTTTTTTTTTTATCACAAATTTAACACTCCTTATTTGGTTTGTCTGGAATCTCCAGACATAAAAACAATCTGTCCACATGCCTATCTTTAATACAATCCCAATAAAGCCATTCTTGACCATGGATCCCAGGTTCTATGACCTGAGCCCAGCTCAATCTATCCCATCCCCCGAGGATATCTGAGAAGACATTGCGCTGGCAAACAGCAAGTCGTGTTACTTTACTTCTCTGACTTACAATCTTTTGGCTTAGTCAATCCCCATATTCTTACATATTGACTAAGCATGGAATTCAGGCACTGCCTGCTACTTTTGCCAAATCCATTTATAAAGGGAAAAAGTGAAGATTACCACCCATCTTACTCTGGCTTCGTGTTATACTCTAGCAAACCAAGGCAAACAGCTCTGAAGTTTTATGAAGAGCTAAAAATCCACCCATCACTTACAAAATATTTTTTAAGAAACCCTTTAAAAGATGAAATTTAACCTATAGAATGCTGGGTTCTATAAATGGAGGAATACATTTAGCTCTCAGAACACAGCTACCTAGCCCATTAACTATTTAGGGCATCATGAAGAAACAAGATAAAAATATAAGCTAACCTCTTAGCAACAAAAGAGATGTCACAAAGGTAAAGTTCTTGTCTTTTCACAGTTGCGTCTTTCTGTCCTGTAACAGACCCTTTCCCTGTTGGTTATATGGTTTCCATGCCCATAGCAATACAGAAGTAGCAAATAAGAATTGGTAAGTTTAGCAAATAGTTTGATATCAGCAACATAAAGAAAAAACCTGAGAAGAAAGAAGACATAAACCACACACACACACAAAAAGTAGTCAATAAAACCAAAGAAATCCTAGTGGTCAGAGACTGCTCAGTATTGATGCAAACCATGTTCCATCTGTCCTACGGTAGGGCCCAGTAGAGCTACAGTATTACAATATAGCATAATTATATTTAAGACTTCGACTATATCTTGCCATTCTCTCCTAGCCTGTAGGGTTTCTGATGAGAAGTCTGCTGTGAGTCTAATTGGAGATCCTCTGAAAATAATCTGCTGTTTCTCTTGTGCACATTTTTTTTTAACTTTTATTTAATGAATATAGATTTCCAAAGTACAGCTTATGGATTACATTGGCTCCCCCCCCCAATGACTTCCCTCCCACCTGCAACCCTCCCCTTTCCCGCTCTTTCTCCCCTTCCATTCATATCAAGATTCATTTTCAATTTTCTATATATACAGAAGATCAGTTTAGTATACATTAAGTAAAGATTTCAACAGTTTGCACCCACATAGAAACACAAAGTGAAAAATACTGTTTGAGTACTCGTTATAGCATTAAATCTCAATGTACAGCACATTAAGGACAGAGATCCTACATGAGGAGTAAGTGCACAGTGACTCCTGTTGTTGACTTTACAAATTGACACTCCTGTTTATGGAATCACTAATCTCCCTATGCTCCAGTCATGAGTTTCCAAGGCTATGGAAGCCTTTTGAGTTCACCAACTCTGATCATATTTAGACAAGGTCATAGTCAAAGTGGACGTTCTCTCCTCCCTGGGATCTCACTCACAGAGATCTTTCATTTAGGTGGTTTTTTGTTGTTGTTGTTGTTGTTGTTGTTGTTGTGTTGTTTGCCAGAGTGTCTTGGCTTTCCATGCCTGAAATACTCTCATGGGCTTTTCAGCTGGATCTGAATTACTTTGGGGCTGATTCTGAGGCCAGAGTGCTGTTTAGGACATCCGCCATTCTATGAGTCTGCTGTGTATCTCGCTTCCCATGTTGCATCACTCTCCCCTTTATTTATTCTATCGGTTAGTATTAGCAGGCACTAGACTTGTTTATGTGATCCCTTTGACTCTTAGTCCTATCATTATGATCAATTGTGAACTGAAATTGATCACTTGGACTAGTGAGATGGCATTGGTACATGCCACCTTGATGGGATTGAATTGGAATCCCCTGGTATGTTTCTAACTCTACCATTTGGGGCAAGTCAGCTTGAGCATGTCCCAAATTGTACATCTCTTCCCACTCTTATTCCCACTCTTATATTTAACAGGGATCACATTTCAGTTAAATTTCAACACTTAAGAATAACTGTGTGTTAATTACAGAATTAAATCAGTAGTATTAAGTAGAACAGACAAAAAAAATACTAAGAGGGATAACGTATTAAATTGTTCATTAACAGTCAGGGCTATGCTGATCAAGTCACCGTTTCTCATAGTGTCCATTTCACTTCAACAGGTTTCCTTTTTGGTGTTCAGTCTTGTGCACATTTTAGAATCTTTTCTTTATGTTTTACTGTGGAGAGTTTGATTACAGTGTGTTATGGTGAAGATATTTTCTGATCATGTCTCAGGAATTTTATGTGCTCCCTGTATATGGATGTCCCTTTCTTTCTCCAAATTGGGGAAATTTTCTGTTATTATTTCACTAAAAAGGCTTTCTAATTTTTACTCTCTTTCCACATCTTCAGGAACTCCTAGAACCCATATGTTGGGTCATTTGATAGTACCCTGTAGATTCCCAACAGTGTTTTTTAGTTTTCCAATTTCTTATTCTTGTGTTTGGTCTGACTGTAGAATTTCCTGTGCTTTGTCTTCTAAGTGGGATATTTTTTCTTCTCCTTTGTCGATTCTATTGTTAAGACTCTCCACTGTATTTTTTATTTGTTCTATTGAATTCTTCTTTTCCAAGATTTCATTTTGATTTCTCTTTAAAATCTCAACTTCATGTGAAAAATTTTCTTTCATGTCATGTAAGGATTTCATTACTTCGTGCATTTGCTTCTGATTATTTCTAAGTAATTCTGTGATCAATTTTTTGAATTCCATTTCTGGCATTCAAGCTCATCATCTTCACAATCTAGTATTGCAGTGTTGTGTTCTTTTGGGTGTGTCATGTTGTCTTCCTTGTTCTTGCTTCTTGGATTGGTGCATTTGTTATTTGGCATTTGTGGGGGTACTCATTGGTTTCTTTGATTTTTTTGCTGTGGTGGCTTTTATCTTTGCACTTCATCTGATTGGATTATCATAGTGTCTGCTTTCAGAGAATTCCTAGAGGCATGTGGTGGGAGTAGCAAGGGAGCTCTGTTCAGTGCTCTAGGATGAAGGGCATGTCTGAAGTGACACACCGAGGTTTGGGATGGTAAATCTCCCTTTTTTTTTTTTTAATCAGAGGGGATGTTTCTTCTTGTCTTTTGGCATAGACTCAGCTGAGCTCCTGTCCTCAAAGGAGACCAGTGCCTGGGTGCTAGCCCCAGTGAGTATATTGTCTTCTCTGACACAAGGACCACACAAAGGATCTGTACAGTCCTCAGTATAAGCTCAGATCCCCTAGAAATGTCTCTCGCCAGGTAACCAGGGGGCCTTGATCATGTGGAGCCTCCCACAGTGAATGCCCAGTGCCCACATCACACCCTAAGTCCTCCCATGCAGCCTCAGTGTTTCCACAGTCCTGGCACACAAACCTCCCACAGTCACGAGCACCCAGCACCCTGTCTATTCTCCCCACCAGACTCAGGAGTCTCTGCTTGGCTGGTTGCTGGGTGCGGACACGAGCTGGTGCAGCTGTTAGGTATGTCCAAAATGGCA